ACGTTTTCTTTGCCAATTGTAACCAATTCGCAATCTTATTCACTGAAAATCTGTCTTTTACGCTAAACCTTCGGTATTGAGTATTCATTTCCATTTGCTGTAATTCAAATTCACCAAATTTGCTTTTGATTAGAAATATACAGGGTTACAGCAATCATGACACCACTTTGATAATGGATGAAATGTTACTCATGAAGACTTATAGTGTGTTTATTATCAAACTGTACACCAATTATCTTCCCGCTCAGCCATTGCAAGAAGGCCATGTGTGAACATTTCTGTGCTTGTGGCAAAAACGTAACACGAAAAGGAACGGTTACCTTAGCATCGGTGTTTGTATAGGATTTGTACAATAGTCGGCAAGTTTTAAAGACAACATGAACGGTCTATTTCAGTCATGAATATTCCCACATTTAACCATTCAACTAAACACTTTTAAGAATATAACTTCTGTTAGTACGCATTTTGACCAGCCATACCTTAGATAACACTTCGCGCGAAATTGCCTGCACATTTTGCGAAATAGAGTGAGTTCAAATCACGATGAATGCAGGACTGCATAGGTAAATTGGCTTTCGCGCAAAGATGAATGTCAACATTCTAAACCAGTGCAATATCGAGAAATTGAACGCTGACTTTGTACGAAAGAATGCACCCTCACTGAAATAGAATTTATATTTGTTAAATAGAAACAGAGATTTCGATGTTCATTCCACTTCGCTCAAAAATGAATGCTGCCATTACTTATTCATTTACACATTTTCCGAAATTGGCCGGGAAAACCTATATTAGCATGATATACTGGCCCAATTTCCACTCTATAGAAAAACACGTAAATGTACAAGTACCCCTCACATTCAAAGCGAAATCACCCGTGGCTGATTAGTAGTATCGTGAACTAGTATTCACAACGAACTGCGTCGAGCGTCGCCTATTCGACATACGACGTATCTAAACACAATACGAAGGCATCCTTGTGAGGTGTCGGTTTGTCTTGTCGTCACTTCCGCTCCGCTATTGTAAAAGGTCCATAATTATACCGAGTCTATACAGAGTAGACGCTATACAGTCGTGCCTTCGTATCGTCATGTCCAGGCGAGGGGAGGGGGCTGCGACGGAAAAGGATGAAACATGCATCTCCTTATTAGACTGGAAAGGACGACGATTGAACGTACGACCCACGACAAGACGTCACTTAAAAAGCAATGAAGAGGGGGCCACTGGACGGCAATAGAGAGCGACAAAAGGATCCGTCGTGCCGTCATGTGCATGGTCTCGTTCTGCGTTGAATAAGAAACACGGCGTGTCGTCAATGGACAAACGTTTCAACCACAAGGGTTATAGGATTGTTTGCCGAGAGCTAGTTACATGGTATTCGCTATTTTAGCTATCTCGTGCACGGCCAAAGAACAACCAAAGCATGATACCCGTAGCAACCAAAGAACTATACACATGATGTGCAAATGCCTACCGGCGAGGGCGTTGGATGCATAGAGCTATATATGAAAACACTATAACTCCATGGTTTGATGTCACTTACATTCTGAAGCGCTAGCGCAACGGAGCTGGGTTCAAACATCTAGTTTAAAGAAGTGCTCGTGAATTTTTAACAAATTCCTCATTCAAATAGATGTACAAGTATTTTATATGTAGTTAGGTCAAATTAATCAGTCATCGCTTAAATCAGGCAGAATCTGTTGGAGAGGTGTTATAAAGCAGATATCGATTATTACTTTATCTCGTGTTGCAGTTAAAGTAGCCTCCCGAGATGATTACGTCTTGGACCATCACATACGTGAAACCAAAGATACATGTATAAGAAACATTCTTCAGCTATGCGTGGGACTCACGGGAGCGCACAGTAGCATGACGCGCATGATGTCAATTGATGGTGTTAAGAATACAGCACTGTTTTCAACAACGGCAGGTAATTTTCGGGACGAGTGGGAACATTGCCTATTTTGCCCCAGGGTCTTTAAATATTTTGTGGCCTGTTTTTCTTTGAATTGGAACCCAAGATCGGGCAGGTCAGAAGTGGCAGAAAAAAAGGGTTCCCTAATGAAATCTCACCTGTAGTTCGGAGTGAATCGAGGACGTTAAACGAGAGGGGCAAAAGGTACTGTCCGATGACGTCAGTAGAAAAAAAATCCCTGCATTGCACAGGGTGTAATTCAGCTGTGCAAGAACCGAGAAAATTCACAGAAACTTACACACATTTTCTGATCACCAGGAAATAAAACAGTGCTTCTTGCAACAGTCTTAGGGGAATCGGTTCTATATGTAGTAACATTTTTTAAAGTAATTGGTCGCTGTCTTTCTTGGGGTCGTTCTTATCGTTGGCGTCCACAACCGACACGCTACCCGCCGTATCCGTAGACAGGGTTCACTACCACAAGGCAAGGACCTCGCTCCATGCTCACACTATAGACACAGGCATCATTTCAAAATTCCTATTGGTTGACCAAAAGACAGGGCCATCCGACCGATAACAGTGGCTTGTGTCGAGTAAATAATGGAGGGGGTGTTGCTCCACTGAAACAACACAGCCTTGGAAGAAATGCAACTAAAAAGGCATTTATCAGTTAGAATTAGCCACTTGAGAACTCTCAACCTGATAGCCAACCGATAATAAATGTAATAAATTTTTCCGACCGATACCGGGTAGGTGTCTGTCCGACACCTACCCGATAAGAATTTTGAAATGGTGCCATACATAAAATTGCAATTTAGACGATCGTACTCGGAGTTTGCTGCCACCCACAGTTCGAAAGAGTACATTAGGAAGCACGATTCACGTAGTCTCTCCTCAACTATGTGCTGTGGGAAAAAGGGGGGGGGTGTAGTGATTCTTCTCCTCTTATCCAGCCTGGGCCGATGATTGACAACATTGTGGTTTGTGCGACAGTTACAGCAGACAGTTGCACACACAATCCAACAGGCACGTTCAATTTCATCGGGGAGGTTTTGCCCACGAAAAATCATATTTTTCATTGAATTTTCACCAACTTATTTTATTTTATAAGCAGTCTTCACTCTGTGCTGTACGGAGTTTGTGAGAAATCAACTCTCCACAGTTGTCCCGTAATTATATTAATCTCTTTGGTTTGTTTCTCGAAGGATCTTGACCAGCTGAATAATGATGCTAAAGTGGATAACATTGTTTTGCGGGGTATAGGGGTTTTTCACGTGACGTAACATGACGGGTAAAGGCATTTCAGGAAGCGTGCGCATGCATTTTTTAATCTGTGTAGTTTCCAGTATGCCAGGAAGTTGAAAAACTTTGAAGGCGCGTGCGTTTCCGCGCACATTCGCGTAAATTGAACGCTAACGTGATGACTGAAAATTTTCTGTCCGGTTCATACACGTGCACGCACGACTGAATGCAAACTTCCATTGGATGTGCGTTAATGTCTTGTTCCATGGTACTATGTAGCTCAGGGTCCACCCCAAAAGTACATTCCCGTAAAAGTAAATTGCCTAGATCTGCACGCGCGTGCTCACATCAAGCAAAAAAGAACCGTTGTGTCTGCCGCCACCAAGCGTCTCAAAGTCTGCCATTATTAGTGGGTTGACCGATAAATTTTTGAGAAATTCTCACACAAAGCAGACCAACCCTAAAACGAAGGAATTTTAACTGCCCGGAAAGTAGCCTTTTTGAAAATGCATCTCTCTGCATTACGACTGAATAGTGCCACTTTTGTACCCGACTGCATCCAACTTACTCAGAATTGGAAGCCCTGATTCCGGGCCTGAGGTTGAGTCTCATGACGCTCTAGTATGGAATATTTTGAGTGTATAACTAATATGAATGAACTCGACGGACATATTTATGGCCTATTTGTTTGGGTGCACCCCTCAACCTCGACCCCACGGGCTGCGTGCGCGTTAGCTCTTTGTACAGTGGGCGTGGTTTAAACTGAAGTGACGTCACACTTACGAACCGGATAGTACCTGGTTTTTTACCTGCTTCATCATTTTCTACAAAACCTACTTTCATTGAGTCAAGAGGAGGGGCAGCCCTTATCAGCAATGCACGGCGCTACCGGCACGATAGCGGCCCCAGTATGTTGGTTGGCAATTACGTTTCCCCTTTCCGGCTCCGTACACGAACACATTTCCACAGCACAAGCTAATCGTGACAACGCGCAGCTGGTGTGACTTTCGCACCAACAGAGTACCAGACCATGGAGGGAGATACGTACCAGCCACACCTTGTTGCCTCTTGGGGGAATGGCCCAAAAGGTCTTGAGAGTGGCGTCCGTCCCGGTCTATCTGTTTGGGCTTGTATATCTACACAAATTAGGGCCACATTTTGTGTCGCATTTAGCGGGTTGCTGCATATCATGGTTTGTTAAGGGGAAAATCAATTTCGGGCGGGTGTGAGTACAGACGAATTTGTGAAAAGAATGATCCTCCTTAATGCAGGGCAGTGATGAAAAAGAAAGTGAACTTTGAATGCTTTATTTTACTTCCCTACTAAACTCCAAAAGCTTGGTGACTTTAATGGGGACCATTTCATCTAATCAATGGAATGTAAGTCTGCTACTGCTATAATGACAAATTATGAAACTTCATGAATCCTAAAATTGTGCAACATCGTTTTTGGTGCCAGAAAGGTCAACGCAGATAGCGACAGCAGTCGGTAAACTTTAAAAAAATATTGGAAACAGACATTTATGTCTTTTAGAATTTAACACCATATTATACACTTTCGTGGTCAGTGTGGTCAGTTATACTAACGATGACGTACCTTGCTAAGCTGCTTTATTAACATTTTTCTCAGTAACAACAACCTTTTTTTTAAAGTAGCTGTCGAATTTCCTGCAAAATTCAAGCGTTAACGCTGCATGGTGTGTTATTTAAGTGTGCACAACGTCTGTCGAAGTAGAAGACAACATTAATGGTACATCCTCTCGTCACCTCCTATTTTATATTAATCGTCCCAACTTTTGTGCCACCATGGTGATATTGTGCTCGTTTTTTTGTCTTTTCTTCCGTAGTGGTTCTCTTTGTGGTAACCAGCAGTTTTGTGCAAGCCAGTGAGCAGGATTGTAACGAATGGAGGCATTACATAACCAATGCAGACCGTTTCCGAGATGAGCTGAAAGAAAAATTGGACATACTCAAAGACAATTTGACGGCTCTTGCGCTTGAATTGAACGATGAACACTGGCATGTGAGTATGTACACACAAATAGGTCCAGATTATCCAATAGGAACTGTAGCAACAGTTGCGGACGTCCTGCAAATAATGCCGGTACTTGGGTGTGCCATGAAATGAACATAGTTTTTAAAAGGTTTCGGTATTTTCTGTGAATATTAAATGTTAGGAATGCTTCAATCCAATCGATTACAAAATTTAGTACAACTTAATAGCGTGAACTGCAGGACTCCAGTGCTGGCTGGCACTATAACATTATGGTTGTGGTGTTAGGCTTACGGACGAAAATCACGAAATACAGAGTCACGAAACGCTTGTTCCTGATGTGAAAAACGCCGTAACTGCGTTGGCACTGCACTAGAACGCATATTCTTAAGCTCTAAGCGCGCTTGTATTATTTGGCGAGTTAAAACATCCTATGAGCCCAAAGCCCAACCTCGTTCCCATGGGCACAATCTTGCCACGCCTTGTTTGTTCCCGCCATGCCTTACGCACGCAGCCCATGAGGTCGAGGTTGCCCAAAGTCGGACCAAGAGAGGACGCAATTCGCTTCGAACGCAACAAAAAGGCTTTTTTTTTAATCACCGCAGAAGCGCACTTTATAATGGAGATCGATGGCGCGTTTGACAGGGAGCACGTTGAGTACGCGTACCCAATTTATTCCTAAATGTATGCTTTTTGCGTACACTCAGAACGCATGCAAGAACCCGCTTGGAAAACTTACAACCACCTATATATTGACAAGTATATAATATAAAATCAGTGCTCTGAAACATGTGATTGTCCATATTCTGATCACGGTGCTACGCAGCCCTTCCAAATTACAACCACCTGTCTTTCGGGAACAAAGCGTGCGTGGGTCTGGGTCTGGATGCGCTGAGTAGCTGCGCGTGCGTTGCTGTTCTCGAATAGCCTCGTACTGGGAATACGCTGTTGGAATATCGAACTGGCTCATTCTCCTCAACCTCGACAACGTGGGCTGCGCGCACGTTCCTTCACTAGCCTGTGGTCGTGTAGAATACCAAAATTGCGGTGACTGGCTATTCAGAATGAATATAATTATATAAATTTAAAGTCAATCGCGCGGATATTTCGAAAGCTGCACGCACGCGCCCACGTATTCTTTTGCACGTCATGCACGCATAAATGTGCGTTGCGCAAAAACACACTGACTAAAGTCCTAATTAAAATACCCCAAATGTGTGATTTCTAAATGGTCCTTTCCATAATATGCAAATTAGACAGGCGCATGCGTGCCGCTACTACCACTGGTTAGCAAGCGCGGACGTTAACACTGTCGGCAGTGTAGAGCTGCTATAATCATAACCTGGTGCGTTGAACGTCAATCAAAACCGTATTACAACCCTTGTCCGATACTTCAGCACGCTTTTCGCGAAATTAAGTGACGTTTTCAGTGTCCTGAGGTTAGAAAGTAACAATTCCTTGTCTGCCAAGTTTGGCACTCATGTCAAACTATACTAGTACAGAAACGGCGTGTATGTGCTCATAGTTGCGCGCGCATGGAGATTTGTATTGTTGCGTCATAGATTTGAGCAACTTTGCCAACCAGTGATAGTAATGCGATGCGCCTGCCTTATTTGCATATTTCATGGGGAAGGCCCATTATCCGCCCCGAGCTGAAGTGCAGCCCCAATCGGCGAAAGAAAGACAGCTGGTTACAAGTGGGATCCTGCACGCGTTCTGCGTGTGCGCAAAGACCATACATGCTGGAATTAGGTACTCGTACACGTACCTGCATAACTTGCGTACCTCATGGCGTGTCTGTGTGGTGATACCCAAAAAAGCTTGCCCTCTTTTGTAATATAAAATCAGTGCTCTGAGATATGTGATTGCCGAGCTTTCGGTAACTGAGTACCTTTCTCAGGGCAAGAACTGAATCTGCTTGCCCTGAAGAAGGTACTCAGTTACCGAAAGCTCGGCAATCACACATTTCAGAGCACTGATTTGATATTATATTCTTGTCGTTATTCTGATGACGGTGCTACACAGTCTTCCATATTCATATGCCCTCTTTTGTTCCGCTCGGAGTGGATAGCAGTACCAGGGGTTAGATCGCGCAAGGCATGGTTGGCACCAAAATGGCGAGGCAAGATCGTACCCATAGGAACGAGGTTGCCTAGTAACGGCTACTTTGGCGGGAAATGCGTTTCACTGGTTCACAAAGATGTTACACTCCCCACCAACATGGTTCTTTTCAACCGATGAAGGGGTGCTTCTGCTCAAGGCGGATTAATCAAAGACGCATCCAACTCTCTAGGCGTTTTACAGCGTCATTCTAAAACTCCCCAGACAAATTGACCCGGGATTCAATCGACGTGTAAAAAGGGACACTTTTCCTGTACAGTTTGAGGATTTAGTATTTTCTGGGAGAAGACTAAATTTGACAACTGGACCCACGGATTTTCAGACCACGACACATCCACACTTTTTGCAGTGACAGTCGACTGCAACCTTTGATTGCAGTGTGTACTGATACAGTCATTTGCAAAAAGTTTGAGATCACCTGAAATGTTATTGGTTTTTCTGTCACGGGACCGACTTTACATTGTCTTAATGAATGATTACTTAACATGTTTTACAGTGGTGCGTAACATCGGCGTAGCGCTATATACCCGTTTGAATGAATTTGTTTCCAAAGGCAGCATGTCTTGTATGACATTGTCCGTAAGGATGCATGGGTTAAAAAAAACGGTCTAAGTAATGAGAAATAAAGAAGGGTACATTAGATATTAAACTAACATTTCAAATCATGGAAATGTAGTCAAATAGCTGTTTAACCAAGATGCTAAGTTTACACATATTAAAATTAAATATAAGTTGCCATGATTGATTGGTTTAAGTTTGGTTTTTCTTCAGGTGAGTCATCTTGTATGAGTGGTCCTAAACTTTTGCAAATGACTGTACAATAGGCATGTTACCGATATTGAAATTATTTTGTTGCTTGAACTTCCATTACGGCGATGCTGCCTTTTTAAATTAACAAATTGGGAAGATTATAGAGTGAACATGAATTATATCGTACCACACTCCATGTGTCAAGATGGCAGTCTTTTCAAGAAATAACCTGCACTCTGAAACCTCCCGGATCAGATTGACCAAGACTTGGGTCTCATTCGGCGTGACCCTTTCCGTCTCAATTATGACCCGGAAAGGGTCAAATACGACCTAAAAGTGGGTCATTTTTGACCCAGAAAAAGGGTCAAAAATCTGACCCGGGAGTTTTTAGAGTGTGTCTTTTCGACAAAAGAGTCGAAAACCCAGACTGCAGGACGTCGTCGTGATATGCCGCATGGTGTTCCCATTTTGACAAACGCAAAGCCGAAACTGAAATGAAATGGCACCTTCAATTCTAAAGCGGTGTCCCGCCGCGGGCCAAAATCTGTTCTGCAATCACATTTGCTAAACTCCTTAAGAGAAGGCTTTAGCTCTAAAGGTGGGCAATCTTACCAAAGAGAGTTCCCTGACGTAGCTAGTTGTTATGACGGAGAACTTCTCTGAAATCGGAGCTTTTCTTTGTGCAAATTTAAATAAGTGCACATCAGCTCTGTTAAGTTTATTGGCAGTCAAATGAGCGATCAGTGCGTGACAGGAAAATGTGTGTTGGCACCCAGAGTTGATACAGTGATAACAATAATTAATCCATAGTAGTTGTGAATAATATAGGTTTTCCTGTAAATGTTTAAAACGTTTTTCGTTCAAATTCATAAAAGATTGAGGTAAAATACGTCTTGAGGAAAATCAAAACCGGAACGCAGACATTCAACAGTGAACTTAGATACTGATCAATTTAAATGATCAGTGATTGATCTTTCTCAACATTTATCCATTCGATTTCGTTGGATTTTGATATCATTCGTCTCTATTGATAGATCATATAAGGACTGAATTAGTCTTTGTTCGATCGATTTTAAGAATATTACTATTACAATATTGCGCCTCAAAGAGTTTGCAACGCATTTTAATGATCACAAGGCGCGAAATCTGTCGACCCAATGCACGTTTGAAAAGGTCGACAGATTCCGCGCAAACGGTGATTGGTCAATGCGTTGCAAACTCTTGGAGGCGCACTATTGTGAATCAACCGTATTTCATCAAATGGTGAGGAATGCACAGACGTACTTGGCACGGTGCATTGCAATCAAAGATATTGAAGATTTAACAACCTACCACATAAACATGAAGAACTGAATCAATTGCTTGTGCAAGATGTGAAAATATATCTACGTTTTGGTTTTCGTAACATAGGCCTACTTATTTCTGGCATGAAATTAAACGTATGTACAATTTATTGGCCTGTGTATACACCTTATCAGTTGTTGGTGCATAAAGTGGTTACAGAACTGAATGGGCACGCAAATATAAACGGAAAAAGAAATTTTGATTAAGGTAAAAAAAATTGAAGTACCGGTATGCAACCATGTCACAAATTTGAATGAAATAATAAAAATAATAATTTATTCATTTATAAAGCGCAATTTTCATAAAAATATGTTCAAATGCACTGTACATTAAAAAATAAGTATAAAATGCATCAGGAAAATACGCGTAACAGCGGTTTAAAACACTAGATAGAGCATACATCTAAAACAAATGATAAAATTGAGCATATTAAATTTGACATCAAACAATAACGTCTGTAATAACGTGTACCAAATAAGACGAGGAGACAAGAAGACAATTGCCGATCAAATCTACCCTAACCTGCCACCCAATTTCCAATACCCAACACACCATACCCAGCTCTAATCATGAAAATGGTGTCCAAAAGCCTCTTAAAACAAATGAGTCTTTAATATAGATTTGAAGACACCCACACTATTTGCTCTACGAATATTATTTAACAGAGGAACATTCCAAAGTTTAGTAGCCGCAACGGAAAAAAGGATATCAGTACCGCTGATCGCAAAATGCCGAAATTGTTTCGTCTGTCGTACGTTTAGCAATAAGTGCGGACAATGAAATGGAATTGTCTTTCGCGAGAAAGTTTGGTGAATGTATGAAAATATTTTTTAAACAAGTGCAAGAAGGAGCGACCAGACAAAATTACACAGGCCTACGGGAATCTAATTAAGAGACGATTTAGAAGTTAAACGTGTAAGAATTTAAATGACAAAAGTTTAACGATGTGTGGGAAGACCTTTATACTATAACTGATATTGCCTGTGAATGTTCCCCTCAGCCTCACCTCGATCTTCCGTTTCGTTCGTATTCACATGAAATGTGATACATGTAATGCCTATTTCATAACTATGATGCTAACATTTAAAATTTTAAAAAGTCTTGTTTTTATGCACTGAGCCGAGCGGAATTGATTGTGTAATTATAGGTAGATAACACATGCAAGCAAAACTTTTCCTACGAATCATTACTTTGCGTGTGCAAAAGTTATAACAATTAACCCTTTACCAGTACGCAGAGCAAGCCCTGTGGTTCCACCACTGGAACGAAGTTGATTAATCTCGGACTACAAAGCACCTTGGAAGTCATGGTTGAAGTAATAACTAAAGCGCCATCCTTAGAGGCACGGAATAATATAGGTGTTCCCAGCCGAATTGTCATCTTCATGGTCAAATTCATTATTGTTCATTCGTATTCCAACGATTTTTTCCAGCTGGTTGCTTCCATATTTCTTTTTCATACGGTAGATCCTTCGAATTCTTTTACAGGCGTGCAATGGTGCACAAATTCAACTTAGAATTAATTTTGTTCAATTGAACAGTGCATAACCGTCATTCGATTTAGCGCTGGGTGACTGGAATGAGAAATTCATCCCGAAGTTTAATTTGGTTTTCATCTATGGGAAATCATGTTTGCATTTTAAGCCATCGAATCGAGATGGCAAATTCAGATGTGTATAGAACAGAAAGGGAGGTTACAAATAGAAAACACGCTAGAATTATACATATGTCCCACGTATTGACTTGAGTGTATATTTTTATACATCTCAAACAAATTACACATCCAGAATACAGTACGTTTGCTCCAATACTGATTGCCCGTTTAATCAAAATGCAGATTTGAAACTCTCCCTGGACCTTCATCACGAATGCCCAAAGAAAAATCCTTCAGATGCATTTTACTGATTTGTACTTTTTTATTTATACACATTTAAGAAACACAATCTCTCACCGTATATACTAAGACTTTTCGGATTCTCTTCCAATGACTTATTTTCTTTTTTGTCACATTAAAATAACGTGTTTGCTTTCATGCTTATTTTATTTTCCCATCCTTTTAAGACATTTTCGCACTTTGTTAATTTTGTGTGACATAAATTATTTTACTTCGCTGTTATTCATTCTTTTCATAACAATTCAAACAGAAACAATATACGAATTAGCAAATTAGCACAGACACATTGGTTTATCGTTATATAGAGAGATCTCTACTCGTGAGCCAAACGTTTCCTTTCATGAAAAATTTTGCATAAATTAGTCACACAGAGAAAAAAAGAATTAGAAGATATGTTTGCCGATTCACGAAAATGACGAAGATGAACGCCAAAACACATGCAGCGGGAGTGTCCGCGCAAATTTGAATGCTTTTTGAGTGTTTTTCCAAATTGAATGCTGACCCTTCACTTTTTGAATGACAACATTGTGCAATCACATGCTCTAAGAATGAAATCGAATGCTCAGTTTTGCTCTTTGAATAGTGATCCAGATCATAAACCTATTTCGTACTAATTTGAATGAAACTGTCGCAAATTCGTGTGTGAAGGTAATGAATTCGGCTGAGAAAACCTATGCTTGAATGCCTGCAGGATAGGAGTGTCGAGAACGCAGTCGTGTTTTAATTTATTTTTGTTATAATTAGGCTATTATTAAGGCGCCTTTCCATATGCGCGTCAGCACTTGCGCCCAGCGTTATATCATGTTAAGAGCTGATTTTTGTGTCCATGAAAACGAAACGCACGGACGCATTATGTACGCAGCGCATCCAAAAACGTACATATGGAAAGGCACCTTAACAAAACTACCCGGGGATACACCTTGTGCTTTCTATTGGTTTTACAGCCAGTCTTGGGAGAAGACTAGTCTGAACGCCTCATGGAAGCTCCCCGTGTTGAAATGTCCGACTTGACATCCCTTTTCGTGCTTTGCCAAAGGGCGCCCTCTCTTGTTCCCGCGTGGGCGGATATTACGTTCTCGTTCAGTCTGACACCAGACCCAATGATTCCAATTAGACCCTTCCAAAAAAATTCTGATTTACGTGCGCATGTGCATAAATGGCACGTTGAGGCAAAAAGCTTGGGCAGCCCCATTGAAAATGTACAGGGGCAGAAATTTCAACGTCATTTTCTCTCAGCTTCTGCCCTTTTTTACTTTTGTCTTCGGAAAACTCTCTGAAATCAGTCCAGCTAGTACTTTCCGGTGTGAGAGGCAGCAAAATCAAAACTTGAAAAATTTCGTTCGTTTGAAATGCACGAGGGCGAAAGAAATCAGTAGGGTTCTGTTCTGTGTGAGCTATAAAAGAAATTGTGCGATAGTTTGGGGTGCCATCCACCATTTTCGTACGTGGCGAAACAAACGTTTCAGTACGTCTCAAGAGTTTGCAAGTCGTTGAGCAATCACACTGTTCAAAATCTGTCGACCGTCCGAAACGTCCATTCAGTCGACAGATTTCGCGCACTGTGAACGCTTTGCAAACTCTTGCAGCCGCACTATTGTGAATCACCCGTATCATTGGACGTGGTCGGAAAGGAACCTCGTTAATTTCCCTTGACCTCGTGTGCTTTGGGAGACAGCAAAGATTTTTTAAAAAATTTTATTTAGTGTAAAATCCTTGTAGACCAGAAAGTAATAGCTATAAAAATCTTAGAGGGTTTTCCGAAGACGGAAGTGAAAAGAACTGCAGAGGCTGAGAGAAGATGACGTTGAAATTTGTGCCCCTGTATTCTTCAAAGTGACGCTCAAGCTTTTTTGCCTCCACATGCCATTTATGCGCATGCGCACGCAAATTAGAAATTATTAGTTGAAGGGTCTATGCTCGTCGAATCAAAGGTTCTCTTCGCTCTGAACATGCTCCGACGTAACGAACAACGTTTTTCTGGGTTGGGATCGTAAGAACACGCCACACTAGCTGAATGTGGTTTTAGCTATCTCTACAGGCCCAAAGAATGAGTTACGTGGCTTCATAAAAACTATAGGACTTAACGTTGGCGGTGGATGCAAGACGATAGCAGCATTACTGCCGAGTCTCTCTAATTTGTTTTGTTACCAATGACCCGCAACCTTTCAGTGTGTCCGAATGCGGCAGAAAGTTAGGCCGTGTCCGAATAACTTGGTTGTGGCCTGAAATTGCGCACGAGTCAACAGTAGTGGCGCTGGACGCGGCCAGTTCCCATAGAGTCGCGTGTAATTTTAAACCACAGCCAAGTAATTCGGATGCGGCCTTACAATGTACACATTGATCAAAATGGTGCAGACGCAATTAAGCGTGTCTTGGGGCAATCATTCACGTTCCTATTGTCCTCTCTTGTTCTTTTTTGGAAGGCCTCTAATATGTTTTGAACACGTTTGGCAATCGTGGACGTATCGGGAATCATGGACGGTCATTAATTCTTTTGTTTAACGTCCATGATTGTTTTTCAACATCAGTGCACGCACGCAGCTGTACAACGGTGGCCAATCTGCCAATACTGCCGTTTCTTATCCGTGAATTTTCACCTGGCTGGCTGGATTTAACACAGACTAGTGAAAAGTGTACACAAACGTTATTTTATTCAAATACACAAAGTAGTCCCCAAATAAGTTTCTTGCACTCGTTTTGAAATTAACTTACAGGGTGTGACTTCCAGCAGGCAAGATGAACTCCAACAACAGTTGCAATTGCCTTCCACGTTGCCGAGTGAGGAATGCAATTCGGTAAGTTGGTTCAAATTGGCCAGTTCACTAATAAATTCTATAATTAATGTGCACATGCGCATAAATGGCAAGTGGTGAAAAGGCTTGAGTGGCCCATTGAAAATGTACAGGGGCCACAGGGGCACAAATTTAGACTTCATTTTCTCTCAGCTTTTGCACTTTTTTCACTTTTGTCTTCGGAAAACCCTCTAAAACCATTGTAGCTATTACAATTAAATTAATTTTAAAAAAACAGTCTTTGTTTTCTCCCCGAGTGCACGTGGTCAAAAGAAATTAACAGGGCTCCCTACCGACCATGTCCCATTAAATAGTTTGTACGTCAGGGTACTATGCACTACTCGTACTTGAATCGCGGGGTACCGTCAGACAGGATTACAATCAAGTTACGTCGTAACCGCCGAGAATGTTGGATGGTACCCAAACGTAGCGCACAATTTATTTTTCAGATCACACGGAAAGGAACCCTACTGATTTCTTTCGACCTCATGCGCTTTGAACGAACGAATTTGTTTTTAAAGTTTTTATTTTGTTCTCCAAAAATTCCCTCTCAAATCAGAAAGTACTATGGGCTACGGGCAAGATATCCCATACGACAAAACACTGTTGCCGTCGGTGTTTAAATTTAATTTGCTTATACAAAAATCTGATCGAAGGAGTTTTTCTTGATTCTGGGCAGAGAGTAAACTTTGAGTGCATACAACGCTTCCTGTTGGTTGGCCGTCGTGCCTTGGATAACATCAGCAACCAATTGAAAGGACGATCCCACGGCATCATAAATTTCGATTATGGTACAGTGCAAAAGACATATCGTCTTATTGAATGCTACGTAAGTCATCTCTTTATAACAATGAGAGGCATTATTTCAATACGGGCGATTCACAATAGTGCGCCACCAAGAGTTTGCAACGCGTTGGCCAATCATAACGCGCGAAATTTGTCGTTGTCGACCTTTTTCAAACGCGCATTGGGTCGACAAATTTCGCGCATTGTGATTGGCCAACACGTTGCAAACTCTTGGTGGCGCACTATTGTGAAACGGCCGTATTATACCCAAAGAAATAGGGAATCCAGTCGCATTCATTATCCATACATAAAAAGTTGCCAGATCGTCCTCAGACTGTTTTACCTCTTGAAATCTTTCACACAAAGCAAAAATTAAATTGTTCAAAGTGGTTGTAATATCTTGCCCCTTTAGGGGTAAAAACATCAGAGAAAAAGTACCCCTGTATTTGAACAACAGGTTTCAAGAGCCAAAGTTACTTGCTTTACTGCCTCGGCTCAATATAGCAATGCCGATTAAATATTTAAGCTTGTTGATCTATCGAGTTTTCTTTTCTCCAAAGCACCAAATACAAATAACGCTAAAACCAAATAAAAACCAAAAACGCTGAATTACATCTCACTTTTTTATTTTGGTTTCTAACCAGCTGGCCGAACCTCATTGGAACAACCAAGATGAGGCAGAAAACCCATGTTCATCGACCGACTACAGCAGGTACTTACTGCCATCGCACGTCTCAACGCAGGACCTACATTACAGCAGTCACCACGTCTTGCACAATTTATCCAAAAACCTGAGACGTGTCCAACATAACTTGACGACATGCATAAACCAACTCAGGAAGCGAGATCGGGTCGACTGGCTGAAGAACGAACTGGAGAAGCGAACCCGCGAAATCCTGCTGGATGATGACAAGCAGTACGTGGGTCTGCCAGACGAGACGCCCAAGCGAGCTTGGGCACCTGTTGGGAACGTGTACGTGGCGGTAGCGGAGGACCAGTATAAAGATAACCTTGCAGAGGCCAAGCGCGACCGGAGCGCCTTGTCCGGGCCGGCTCGGGTTGCCGACTCGGATTGGGACTGGGGGGAGCAAGTGTTCGCTCCACGGGAACGGAGATACTCGAAGAAGGATCTCCGACTGGTAGAGCAGCTTCTTTACAGTCCACTCCAAGAACGGAAGAAGCGGATCCCATCGTGGATGGACTACCTATAAGCAGTGGCTGTGACGTCGTCACAATTTTGTTTACAGAAGCTGACGGTTTGTTTCCTTTTAACGCAGCTTTCCCCATTAAACACCGAGGCTGATGTGACATCAATTGAATTATTCGCTGGGCGTTCACTTTTATTTCCTCTTTAAAGCATTTCAATTCGCGCCGCCTGATAACTGACGACTGTTTATCGTTCTAAAAATTCTAAAAACGCGACGAAAACCGTCTGAGAAAACACTTGAAACATTCCGTTCTACACTGACGTTCTAAAATGCATAGCAAGATATTCACTAAATTCTAGGCTTTGTTTGTGGGATACGTCTAATTCTATGCCGTTCCACAAACTTCGCCTTATTCGTGATTAAGTGCATTTGAAGAAGTAGCGTAAAGGTGCTGGAAATTTGGGGATCAGAGCAGAGGGGAATATCATCCATAAACATTTAAAAAGCAGGGGATGGAGTGACACGACATCACTCTGTATCGAGGTCGGTGTTCATGGTATTAATGTACATCTGTAATATGTATTCAGGGCATATTTATGGCTTTTTAATTGCTCTCCATTTTTGAATGATACTGAATACGTTGGAGTAGTTGGAAGTTTGAAAATTCTTCACCATCCACTTTATTTCTTTGCTCGCCTTAAAAAGTGTGGGGGATGATTAAATAGTCCCCCCCCCGAAAAAAGGGGAAGGGAATATATACCCCTACCCCCTGCCCCAAGATTACGCCCATGATTGAAAGATGGGCCAAAAGTAAGCCAGAAATTTTTACCATCTACCTGAGCTATGTCTATCGAAGGTTTGCAGGGCTGCCATCTTGCAGGCCAGTGCATTTGTTCCACAGGGTATGAAACAAAGAACTGCCCTGCAAGACAGCCACCACGCAAACCCTCTATTCCCGAGACAAAAGACTTCAGGGATGAAGATTGCAGTGATTAGGCCATTCTTTTTCTTGCACACAGGCACGTTATATCAAGACTGAACAAGATTCTTGTAAATTCTTTCTGGAAATTAAATCAAGGTTTCTTCAAAAGTCCCATGGCAATAGGACCCAAAGGGGCTTGACGAAGCCTAGAGAGAAGACGACGAAAATTAATGTTCATTTTTAGAGGTGGGGGGAAATACCGGAAGGGAGAACCCAGGAAGTCAGAATCGAGTGGAAGGCGAGGAAAGTACCATTTTCCCAACCTGACTCCCCGCACGTAAATGGATGGCATCGCATCAACTGGCTTGGTTGGTGTTTCTTTTCCATTCTTTCATTTTGACAAACTAAACCAAATCATGATGTTATCCCTCCAAATGCAAAAACAGTCTTTTGAACAATGCCTGTCACTTGTATGTGGAATTGCTGTACAAGATTATTGAAACCCATTGCAAAGAGATCAAACCATTACCCGTACATACGTTGCTCCTGATGTGATTTGAATTGCTTCGTATTTCTTTTCTCGACGAAATACACGTACCTTGATTGTTCACTTCACCGCGTCGTTTTAAAGTTAGCTCTATCCCGACTTATCTCAACAAAGATCGTGTACTGTTGACAATTTATCTAAATAAACAAATAGGGCTACATAAAATGGTGCTCTGATGCCGTCAAGGCCATTACAAAGAAAATTATTTCAACAATTAATATTTTTGATACTGTGGTCACTTGACTGTTGCAACCATTTTGTTAGGTTGTAGTAATAGTGAGATGTACTGAATTAGCTTTTTTTTTTTTTTAGAATGCTATAGGCAAACGGTGAAAAGTGAAAGTAATGGAGTGTTGTAATAAGAGTGTGCACTTGTACATGTTGCCTTGTGGGGCGCCGGAATAATGGAAGGTACTCCACAAGGCCAGTTTTGATCCTTGTGGGGTACTAAAGTGGTACTCCACAAGAATTTCACGAAATAAATATTTCAAATTTACTCAAAAAGGAGGAATTTTCAAGTGCCATTCATCCAATTAAAGTGTTTTATATAAGGGACATACGGTCGAAATTTCAACCCAGGAAACTGAACTTGGTTGAAATGGCAGTGATTTGAAATTTTTTCCGTGTTGTGTGGGAGTTTTGTACACGAGAACAAAGGAAATACCCCACAAGCATACATATGTGTGTACGTGTAGGCGTGGCATACTTAGTGTGGACCTCTGCACAAAAGAAGTCCACATGATGGCATTGTGTGTGTGGATGTGTGGTCAGCATTGCCATCTTTGGTGTCAGATTAGCACTGTTCACACTGGATTAACACTCCATCTACACTTTCTGTATTCACGCACTGACATTAATACTCAACTATTCGTTCGAAACAGATACCAACTACATGCATAGCACCGAAGACATCTTCAGTTCATGAACAGGTTGCCCAAAATGATGCTCCAGGTTTGGACAGTTAATTTGTTTGTGGCCAATTTCAAATGGATGGAAGTGGAAGTGTTGAAAGGTGGCCCTCGGCAGTGAAAGTCGGTTGCGCGCATGTAGGTTTGAATCCAACTGCGTTGTCAGGGATTTCAAGGAGTGGCATGATACATACATGTAACATGGCGAAAGCCCGAAGTAGGTTGTACCTGCCAACAAGAGGATCGGTTATAGTCTTTTGTGTAACTATCTGATCCTGTCGGTGATGCAAAATACTGCACTTGCTCAGGGCATTTTGAAAGGCATTTTGAGACAGGTACTGACAAAAAAGTACATTCCAGATTGGGGACGGTGATGATGCGAAGGGTTTGCAGTAAAGATGAGAAACAGGTCACTGCTGCAAAGAGAGGAAGCGAGCGAACGGGGAAAGTGGACTATTGGAAACTGCGAGGGAGAAACGAAGCAAAACAGGTAGTGGAAGATGAGAGATGAGACACGTGTGATGGAATAGGGAAAGGGAGAGCGAACCAAATCTTGAAAATGCCCGTCCTGAAAAATCAAAAAGCGAGGTACACATTACACCACAGTACACACGGGGGCACCTTCCATCTCCAGGATGTTACGCCCACAGGCGAGGTCTATAAAAAACCGGCAGAGGGCCCCCAAAAAGGCATGAACTCCGTCTCTTTGTATCTAAATTCCTAATCAAGAGAAAAAAATGAATGTGTCTTCCATCCCAAGCGTTTGGGAGGGACTCTTTAATAGGGCACAGCAACCCAACCCCCACCCCCGTGCCGTGGTGACGTGGGAAGTAATTAAAAACAGAGAAGAGAACAAAGTACAGGCAATATGGATGAAACAAGGGACATGGTGACTGACATGGTGAGTTGCGTGCATGTAACAGAGGAGTTTGAGAATGGTGAGAACGAAAAGAGACGATGGAAAGAAGTCCACGATTACATCGTGACACTGTAGTTGCTACTGATTTCGCGCACCTATGAAAATAGGAAATGTAAGGAAACATCTATGAGTATGCCCTTGGCTGTTTCAAAGATGCACCCGTCGTCCGTAATACCAGTCGGCGAACAATAAATGCGTGAAACTGAAGAGGAATTTATTGAGACGGGAGGGTAGCAATCTGCTTTTCACGTGCGCACTTGACTTCCTCGTTTAAATGCTGGAAGTTGGAGCTCCGTTTTCTTGAGAATCGCACCCCTGGGGCCAAACCAGCCGACGCCCCAGATTTCATGCCGTGTTATGGAACAGCGTTAATTAATTAACGTGCATGTTCTTATGCATTATCACCGCAACGAAAGCTTTCACGCCCGTGGACGCTCCATTGCAGTAAAATTGTTCATGGCATGGCGAATCCACAGCGAGACTACCAGTATTGAATTCAGCAGAACCATCACTGCTGCAAGTTGGGGGAATCTCATTGAAAAAAATGTACCTTGAAAACGGACCTTTCCGAATGGTCACCAAATTCAATCTTATCAAGCAATTCTGTGGGATTCCACGAAGAGCCAACTTTGTTCTGCGAAACACGCATGTTCTCACAACAGCAATGCCAGCCCTTATGTTCTAAATTTCAACTCGACACATAAAAAGAACGAATCGTTTTGCAGGAATTTCGCTGGGGGTTCAACTTTGTTGAAATTGAGGCCGTGCTCATCCCATTAATGAGCACCAGCAGCAACGTTTACATCTTCACACCGGTAAACAAAAAAGAAACAAACACACTGGGACAGTCATACACTCGTAGGTCCATAGAAATACTAGACCGTTTGATGGTAGAAATGAAAGTGTTTTCATTATTTTTGAAGCAAATTCGTATTTGCCTTCCACGGGTGACGTTTTAACATGTGGAACGTTGTAAACAGCTAACCGCTTGCAAACTGTTCGGCAGTTTTGAATGTGTGATCTTTTAATAATTTGTATTCGTAAAATTCAAAATGATTTGGCGTTTGATGTGCAATAGTTTGGTAGTGAGAAAAATATTCTTACCAATGAAGTCTAACCAAAACATTACATTTTAATGGCATTTTAACGGGTGCTGGATAAATAAACTGTAGACAGGATGTTATTAAAAACTAAATTTCAGCTCCACACGGCGTTAAATATCCAAGTTTAACTCTTCAAGTGGTTTTATAGTAAAATTTTCAGGTCTATGCGATGGTAGATTTTCCGGCCACGGGCAATTCATGTCATAAAGTTCTTTGGTGCATTTTACGTGATATAGTCTTGACCATTTGTACATCTAATTGGAAAACTAGTCTATTGAACATCAATAAAAAAAAATAAGTCGCATCGTGACATGTACATGTATTTTAACGAAACTAGAAAGCGATGAAGCAGAGCAAACCGGCTGTTTGTTTCTAAAGACAGAGCAACGTATAGTTCTTGTCAACGTGTTATTCTTTCTTCTGGGATTTGATGATGGAAAAACATCTTGAGTACTTGATATTCAGAACGTGTAAAAATCGTTCATAGACACTTTGTAAACATTGACGTAATTTCGCTTTTACACAAAACTAAGGCCATATAGCACTTTCTTCAAACATAGAGTACATTGTATAAATACTTCGGCTTACAAGCAGATATTTAGAAGAATCTAGTGCGCCTCCAAGAGTTTGCAACGCGTTGGCCAATCACAATGCGCGAAATCTGTGGACCCAATGCGCGTTTGGAATGGGTAGACAGATTTCGTGCGTCGTGATTGGTCAACGCGTTGCAAGCTCTTGGAAGTGCGCTATCCAGATCTTAAGTGACTTCGTCACAATGGCGGACGCACCACGATTTGCAGGCTCTCATGGGACATTCGCTGATGTTGCGCGTTAACTGCCGGTTCCATGGTTCCATGCAAACGGCGATCAAAGCATGGAACCCTGTGAGCAGTGCACGTGTGCAGTGGGCGTGGTTTAAACTGAAGTGACGTCACTCTTACGAACCGGATTGTAAATCACCCATGAACTATTTCCTGTGTAAATCATTAACTTGAAGGAGCTTTAGGTAAACAGCAAAGCAAACTGCGTATTCTACGTAGCAAAAGAGAGAAGCATGCTAAAACAATGCGGCGTGCTGGAAATCAAGTAGAAACAAAGTCTACTTTACTTGTCCATTGTAGCCTTAAATGTATATCTGAAGGGTTATTTCCAAAATGAGATATTTGAAAAACATGCATTTTTTCAGAATTATGAAATTTTGAACAGCTTTAGCAGTGTACAATGTGTCCTTATACTTCCTTTTCACTACGTTGACTCATTAAAATTGTGCTTAGTTGTCTAAAAGCTACAGAAACCAAGGCAACTGAGGGAGGCATCAAGTGCTTATCGCATTTTGGAAATAAACAATTCATTTATTACCCATACAAAGCAAACTTTCCAACAGGATACACTTGTTCACATTTTGATTTCTTGCCAGGTGAATTTTTATTTCAAAGATATGCATTGCCGCGTGTTTAACTGATGGAATGGTGCAATATTACCCTTCTATATTTATTGACGAAAGAAGTCATTTGAAAGATTCGTTTTAATTAGAAGAAATGTTTATCAAGTGACCAACAAGGTTACTTCTACATAATACTTCACCATGTGCTGTGTACTATATATTTTACGTACTATATATTACAAATGAAATTCTCTATTAAACTAAGTCGACTTTTATTTCAATAACTGATCCTATTTGTTCTAATGACTATGTGTACAAGTGTTTTGCTTTTTGTGTCTTCAATACAGTATTGCAGTAGCCATCCATATAAATCTCAAGATCACTTTCCTCTACAAAAATCAAAGCCTTAATTAGCCCATAAAGAAAGATGATATTTTACTAATACATCATTTAGTATAGTTACTGACCTTCTTTTCAAACAGCATGTTTGACCGGCAAAAACTCTACATTGATGAAAGTATGAAGATTCACAGTATAAAAATTGCACTCTGAATGGGGTTGGGGTCGAAAAGATGGGGACCTTGATGTTCTGACAGCATATGAGGAGAGGCGGAGTCAGGAAGGGGGGGTTGGCTCCAAACTTGGCCCTTATTTATGCCTAAGACAAGTGCAGCAGTTCTAATTATAGTATCCTTTCATTCTGGGTCATGCACGGCATTGCATCTGTGGCCCCCCCCCTGCCCACACCATCCCTTCAGCCGGTCTGAATCCAGACGTTATTCACCTGATCATTTTGAAATGAATCCATAAGCACAAATGCATTCTTACAGTTTATGGGGGACAAATGGGGGAGGTTCTTCCTGGTCTTTCAGGCTTGACCAGCATCACTTTACATCACCGACTCATGTTAGTTAAATGGAATGAGGACTTAAGTTTCAATAGCCTAAATCATAGGCAAGACAAGTGTATGCATACCTGTATGTGCAGGGTATAGAGAGCAATTTGAAGTGAAAGGTAATACATTTCGGGACACTCTTCTGCAGGAATGTTACTCATGAACCTTGTGTGGCTAACAATTAAAAATGCCACTTTCCCCACTGCATCTCCAACTTGAACCTTCACCGCCCCCTCTGATTTGTTCAAGACCCCACCCAACCCAATTCCCCTCCTTTGCCCACTTCCAACGTCAGACACTCCCTTCCGCCTGATCACACCCAATCAGTTCAGCCGTGGCTTTGTCGGGGACAGCGTAAACTCTCTCACGAGCGACAAGAAGTTTCTCTAAAGAAGCTTCACCTTCCGGTAATATTGAAGCCTGCTCCTTCACAAACTGTGTCACATCTTCGATCCCAACAATCCAGTCTGTCGCAAATGATTTTAAGATCTGATTTCCAAATGAGAGGAACCAAAGAGGAGTTCGTCTTGTGGTATGCAGGTATGATTTCAAGGGACACAAGAAGCCAAAAAGATATATCCCTTCAAACAACAAACCAAAACAAAGCAAACACACAAATAGCAAGAAACCAACAAATTATAACTCTCATAGGCTTTAGGGTTGAATATTCTTATTGACGAAAGAGTTTGTGGGGTCAAGATGTTGCCGAGCTTGAAGTAATCCAAAACAACTATTATATCTACACAGTTTTGAGTGCCCAGCCTTCAGATGACAGATTCTTTTAAAGCAAATTCCAGGCACATGGGGTGTTTGATGATTTTCAAAGATTTTTTACAGGTTTTGTAATTAACCCTTCCTCCGACCTTACGTCATGTGTACGTTGTTACTGATCCTAAAACATGTATTTAACCAAGAGAGCAGTCTTACCAATCCACCTGGGGGCTAAATCAATCCAAATAACAGAATGGTGAATATATACCCTTCCATTCCATTGAATATTCAACTTTTTCAGATTGGCATGAAAGCAACAACAAAAAAGGTACATTTTCAAAAAAAAGAAGACACACATTCTTAAAGATAAAACTCATTTTTGATTTTGTTGGACTTTGCATTAAGCTGCCTCCATTTTTATTTGTACACTTTGAAACATGTGTTTTTCAAGGATGTAATTTAGTGACATACCTGTAGTAGCCTGAACATTTGATTAAAAAAAAATTCAAATATTTGGTAATGATTGAATATCACTAAATGTCAATAATCAACACAGCCCTAGTCCAACTTGTGTGGTCAAGTGGGCCACACACACACACACATAAATTAAGCAGCGTATATTCCTGATTCTAGAGAAACATGAATCTTTGAATGTTTTCTATATCATGGATAAAAGAAAAATAAGTTTTCCTGAAAAATGATCACAAAATGTCACAAAATGATGGCAAGGCAAACTGACTTACCTCTCCTCGTAGACCAAGCTGAATTGCCCTTCTGTCCTCTTTCCCTCCATTGGGGGCGTGGTCTGGGTCCCACTGGAGGCGGACAGAAACATCCATCTTTCCAGCCTCCCTCTGCGCGCCAGCAGTATAGGCCTGGGACAGGATGGTGTCAAAATTTGCCCTGGGGATGCAAATCGCCAACACTCTCTCTTGGCCCCGCTTGCTGGCCCACCCACAGCGGTACATCATCCAGAGAAAGTTAGTCTTGATCCAGGACATCCGAGTGAAGCTGTACTTGGGTCCTCCAAATCTAATCAACACAGACACGGAAATGGGTTGAAAAAAAACCCCTGCATCCCCAATGCAGAGGGGAGCCGTAAGTCATAGCCCCCCCCCCAAATCTGGAAAAAATACGGAAAAAGAGCACAAATGTTGGAGAGCCACTCCTTCCAACTTAGTTAAAAGCTCCAAGATTTAGCATTGCCCCAAATAAGGCCATAAAAAGTTGCCCCCCAAAAAAATCACTTTTGGCTGCTCCCACTCAAAATATTTACCCCCCAAGGAAATTTGGTTCTGAATCCATGCTTAAATGAGCTGAAATTTGACTACTGTTTCATATTTGCTAGCTGGATACTGTACTCCGATTTAAAGCCCTTTTTTTTCAATTGCTTGCCACTCTCACTTTTAAATCCCTGTTGTGAAATTTTTTGTCTTTTCGTAACCATGACAGAGCAAAATCCTCTGATAACAATATGATTTCACACATCCTAGGGAATTAGGGTTTTTCATTACTACTACGTGTAGTTTTGGGCATTTTGTTACAAAATTTGTCGACAGTGTTTGTTTCTAAATTATCTGCCTTTGCCCTGAAAGAAAATTCAACACTGCAAAAATCGCCTTCGTTCTTTAATAGGGTGACACAGTAAGACAAAGACAGCCCCTTTAATTTGGACCTAATTTGTCTGCATTGTTCAATCTGAGTTTTGGATAGTGCCTTCCTGATCTCCCTTTCCCATGGTAACGCTGCCATCAAGTAAAGCCACGAGCAATTGAACAGAGGATAAAGGCATTCCTTTCCTTCCTGTCACAATACTAATTCTGTAAACATCGGAAAATAACTTGAAGACATCATGCTGTTCACATGTACACATTCCTATGGGAGCCCAATGGACCACATCCCGAGTCACTGAGATAGTAAAGTGCACAAGTAAACAAAAAACATATCAATATTTTGTTAACTTACAGGTCACTTTAACAATAACTACCGGCCCTTGATGTGGAAATTATATTCACCTCTGATTTGAAACAGCATAATCTGCAATTTCTGGACAAAAAGCTTGGTAAACGACAATTGTTTCGTCATCATACTGAGCAAGAATGTGACGACCACTCGGGGGCCAGTGATGCTGAACCTGCGTCTTGTAAGGCTCCGTCTTGAAGTTAAACATCACCTTCCTCGCAGCCATGGCTTTGGGTACAATGCGATATCACCTGATGTGGGAAGTCGGAACAGAAACAACAATGGAATGGTTGTTGGCAGGGTTACCAAGTTAAAGCTGTCTCCCAATTGCTTGGCTGTGACTTAAAATTGTGCTCTTGTAGTCTGTACTAAATTGATGGCTTGATCCAGTTCAAGTAAAACTGGGATCTACTGATTGCTTTTTTTATCATTTAGGACTCTTGGGAAAGAAGAGACCAAATCCAAATGTTAACATGGGCAACAAGTACATGTAGGGTGAATGAAATAGGACAATGTGAATGACATTCACTCCAGGCCTGTTACAACCCCAACTGGTCAGTGCCTTCCCTGTTTCAGGACACATTTGGGGCACACATTGGTTGAAAAGAAACAACTTATGACAGAAAAGTGCTCGGGTAGTAAGCAATACTTATTGTGAAATTGTATTGAGATTCAGACAAGAAAAGGAACATGGTAACTGAAACACACGTAGGTCTACTGCCTGACTTCAAGAAGATATGAACAGAGGAAGGGTAAGAACCATGACATTAAACATACACAGCGGCGGCAGAACGATTTTTAACGTGGGAGGGGGGGCAGTTGTTAGACCATCAGGCATCAGATTATGTACGTCTCACTCAATAAGCCTTTTGCGATTTAACTTTGACCCAAATCTGGTACACTGAGTTCTTTCAAATTTACGTAAACATAACAATTTGATTTCTCCTTACTAAAACCACTGTTGCTATACCTCGTGATTCCGGGCAAGCTTTTGCTTAGTTACATGAGACTATTAAGAGACGCCTTGCAATAAGACACTGTTCTTAAAGGATAAGAAGGGCACAAAGGAACCAGTCCAATCCAGAGATGGTGGTCGCTATGCAAAAGCTTGCCCCGAATCATGAGGTATAGCAACAGTGTCTTTAGTCTGAGGAATTAAAATGTTTATGTGCAGCCAGAAAACTCAGTGCATCAGATTTTATTCAAATTTAACTCGCAAATGGCTTATTGTACGACCTACAAAATGTGGGGGGCAGGCCTCCAGTCGAAAAAGTGGGGGGCCACTGGTACAAGATTCTAAATTGTCCCAACCTATTTTTAAGATAATCATTAACAATTACATATCTTGCGCACCGTTTCTGCATCCAGCACCTGTCGAGTGGCATCACCGAAATAAAGTTCCAATTGCCCTCACAGTTTCAATGGTCAAATGGTTTTCATCCACAAACCTACGGGGCAGTGCTGGCACTTTACTTATTACACAGCTTGTGTGCTGTGGCTACCAGCCACCGAAGTACCATTCTCGCGCGAATATTCCGGTTTTGGCGAGACAAGTAAAAATCCAAGATGGCGAATCGCGGCGGACACCATGTGGATGCAGTTACAGAGCGAAGATTAAAGCCGATCTACGGTAAGGAGAAGCGGTCATTGGGAATGATCAAATATGTTGTGAATGATTACGAGATTATATTCAGTGAAGAATTTTTCAGTTTGTTTTGAGTGGGTTATTTGAAGGAATATTTAGACCGCTAAGGCCTAACCAGTTAACGGTCAGCCATGCCAAGTCCTGTTTTCTGGTTTTACTGTCGGCATCCTTTACTCAAATTACTGCCTTAGCTTAGGCCTACCCCAGTATTCCTCTTTTACTGTTTTGGACGGGATCATCAACTAACGCTTCACGGCCAGAAAAACTACTCACCCATAAATTGAATGCGAGGAGGCAGCGAAAAGTTTAAGTGCTGTGCGTGTGTCGAGCAAAACGTTCTGATTTTGACAGATCTTGAAGTCAGCAATATAAAGCCCCAACCGTTTGACTTTGGCATTTACAGAAGCCATGAGGTGGTGATAGAGGTATTTTTTGGAAATTTTGAGAACCGTTTCAACTTAGTCGAGGAGCGTTAGTAATAGTATGACAACCCCGTCCAAAATTGTAAAAGAGGAATGCTCCACTTAGTAGAGCTAGCCTACCTCCTAGGTGGACTACCTGACCGTACTACGTTACGGAGGGAATCCAGGATATAAAGAGTGCAAAATCAGGCGAAAAATTTTGTAACTAAAATTTTCAACACTGCTACCTTTTCCAAGGAGCCAATTTCACGTCTGTAAATCCTATGCGTCCTTATCTCACCTGTATCTCCACAGCTGGTGGGATTAGAAATTTGACACATCACCACCAAAGACAAAAAGGGAAAATAAAATCTGACATAACGTTAATTGTGGCCATTGTTTTGGACTGTTTTCAGTCGCTCTCCAGTGCAGTCGCACGGTGTGCGCGCACGCGACTACCTGGCGCACGAGACTTGGAGCTGCGTAAACGCACATCGAAACTACATGTTCTGACTAGAACCAGCGAAACTGAAGTCTAACCCAATCCACTGGTTTTGACGCTGACATAAAGCACGTAACGCGCAACGTGGTTCTCAGCCATGAGTACCGTTGATCTCCATGCCGAGTACACACAACATCGGGCCGGGGGCGAGGCTGTGGCTTGCATTGATGATGATTGATGATGGCAAGCTGAGTCTACTACGGCCAGTACCGGAAAGTTAAAATTCACAATTTGTGCAAATCCAAGCCTTTTTTTAACATGTATTATGTGTCAGCAGGTGGACTTAACCCCTTAACACTGGGATTCTTTGACAGCGACTGCTCGGCTGCAGTGGCAGTATGCTAAGCAGCAGGCCCACATTGAAACTGCAGCTCCATGATAAATAGAATGTGTGAGTGGTATGCAATAATCCTCACACAAAGCCACGGTTCCCGGTGCGAAGGGGTTAAAATAGACAAAAGATGTCCACAAAATTTGATAGAAGTTATAAGGAATTCCCGGCAGTTCCGTGTCCAGGGAAGAGGGTATTATCCAGCAAGGCTTTGGCACATTTCTGTTGCTAGCAATTTACTCATATCTCTTGATTTGTCCCATTTTACATGTAAAAGTTATACCGAATACATTTTTTTTTTGAGATGGAGAACTTTTCCAGAACGACCTGGCACAGATAGGTATTTTTTAAATAAACTAGACTGATGATGAGAGTCAATAACGGCGATTAACGATCATAATCTCTTGGGCCTGAATTTAAAAACGAAAAATCACCTACTTTGGGATTATTGAGTATTTTGAAATTGCACATTAATTATATATAACAGGTTTGCCCTTACCCAACGTATATTAATATTAAGGGCAAACCCGTTATATATAATTGACACATCTCCCCAAGGCAAAAATACATCTTGAAAATAGTTCGCGGTACCCGCTGCTTCATTTGACTCGGACCAGCCAACCGACCTCAACAAGCTCGGTGGTCGAGTGGTTAAGACATCTGCACTAGTAAGCAGGAGGTCGTGGGTTCGAGTTCCACCCAAGTAAGCTTGTGAGGTTTTTTTCGCAAGCTTTCGGTCAAGCACTGAGCATACAGTGCTTATTAATATACGTTGGGTAAGGGCAAACCTGTTATATATAATTAACATATCTCCCCAACGCAAAAATACATCTTGAAAATTGGTGTGGATCCATCGCCCGATAACCAGACAGAGCTCCAGCATGACCATAAACGTCAACCTCCCAAGCCAATGAATATTAAGCCCACTGACAAAACTGTTCGGCGACATGATTTCTTCACTGGTGAAAAACATTGAAAAAACATCGGAAGGCACTTATGATTACAGAGGACTCCAAACAACCACATAGAACAGTACACATGAATTTGAGTTTCCATCTGTTTGATATAGGCCTACGTGAGGCTGAGGGTTTTAAGAGAGCATCTCCCCACCCCCAAAAACCATGTAATTTAATTAGGAGTTTTTTCAAAACTTCAACAGAGTCTAGCTATCTGTCCATTGCTCTATAATCCAACTCGTCACAGCCAATTACCACTTCAGTCTGCTTGTTGTACATGTATGTTTAGTTTACGAATAAAAAACGGAAAGAATGATCAACAGCACGATTTGTGCGTGATTGCAACTTACCGCACGTGCGTGCGCCAGTACTGCCTCTGCATACCGTGTTCCCGATCAGTGTAGCATCGCTCTCACCTGTTTATCACAATCATCATGCCCGCAATGTAATCCTCTTTTTTTATTCCTCAATTATTAAGACAAGTTACTGTTTCATTTTCATAAAAATTTGATCTCTACAATGTTGTGTATTTATACATGATTAACCAATAAAAACTCTACTAACAAATTAAACATGTTAAACACTTCAGAGAGATCGTTGATGAACTTATTCCCAAACTAGAACCCTGCATACATGTATACAAAGCCTACCACACTAACCGAGGTTATTCTTATAAAATAGCAGGTTGTGTCGCAAATTTTTGTTTAAAACTGAAATATAAAGCAGAACAAAATCTGAACATTTTAGGGGTAACCAATAGTTGGTTAATTGGTCAGTCTGAAGCCCCCGATCAGACAAAAACGGAACTGCATTTTTTATATCTTGACAGCATGTAGGTTAAAGCCGGGTACCAGTCATGGCCTCAGTGTAGCAGGCGTGCGACAGACCTTCACTGCAAATGCGCACGCGTAGTGCATGCACGCAGCACGGAGTCCTGCACGTGCGTGCACTTTACAACTCAAGAACGGATGAATTACGTCTACCAAAGTAACTTCTCTGACTTATTTTCATCAATTTTGTAGTCCATGGTTCGTTCTGAAATTCCTTTACCCTCCAGACCAATAGATAAGGCCACGAAGAACTTGTAAATGTGAAAAATGAGTTTCTTCAACAAGGTAGAACAAGAACAAATTAGAACCAAATTTGTGGTCGTTTTGTACACAACGTTTATACCTTGGACGTCAGTCGTAATGAAGTGAAGACAACATCCAACCTGAGCTAGGCCTACCCCCAGAACTGTCATGACTGTGGGGTCCGACTAGTCCAAGTAACTTGGACCCTACAAATTGCCTTTTTTAACATTTGGATATGGTCAGGGGATAGTAAGGCCTAAGTACTGGCACAGTTGCAGAATATCCCGCCACTCACCTCGCCCACCTCGTAGCCACGGATACAGAGTCAAGCTTCCATCCACCACCCACTTCGTATTCCCGTATCTGCGTAGCCACTCCCCGGGACCCACATTGGACTTAGACAATTCTTCCGCCTTCAACATTCCCTTTGCATTTCAGGACCCACAAGGCCCACTTCGTAACCCTGTATCCACGTAGCCGCTCCCCAGAACCCACATTGGACTTAGAAAATTCTTCTGCCTTCAACATTCACCTTGCATTTCAGGACCCACAGGACCCACAAGGCCCACTTCGTAACCCTGTATCCATGTAGCCGCTCCCCAGAACCCACGTTGGACTCACAAAATTCTTCCGCCTTCCCCATTTCTCCTCCTTCCTCTAACCTCAAACATACACATTCAATCAGAGTGTAATCACTGATTTTATTAATTTAAATTAAAAATCCTTACAAGAATAACAGACTTAGACATGTTAGATGCATAACAATGGACGAAGACATCTGTATTCAGGAGGCACTGTGGTCAGACGCCATTTATGTCCTTCCTAAACACAGTGGGATTTTTCAGCGAAATCCGACTGATAAAAGGACCTTTATACATGTACATACGTTTGTGTTGAATAAATGAGACCGTCTAAACCCAAATTATGCTCTGCATATTCACAGCTGACTGGGCCTAGGGAGTACGAGTTGACTCGGGTACCAGCCAACCTGGTAACACGTTAACTCGGGTGCAATGCAAGTTGACTTGGGTACGAGTTAACTGGGGTGTGAGTTGACCTGGGTACGAGTTAACTTCGGTGTATATTTTGGGGCACAAAATGACTGGGGTATGAGTTAACCCAGGTGCGAGTTGACCCATTTCACATGTAGGTAGGCCAAACCCCAGACGGGAAGATTTTACTTGAATAGGTCTACCCACTTGTAAACATGGTAAAGTTGTGAAAAAAAAGAAGACGACTAGTCCACAAGACATTGGCGGGCCTACATGTAGGGCCTATTGTTGTTTGCAAAAACACCTCTTAACATGGCAGAAATAATTTGGGGGATTTTTTACCCAGCCAATCGTAAAAAAAATTGGATGAAAACAGAAATCTTGTGATGAGTTTGCATGTACATGTACAGTGGAGTGTCGCTATACCGAACATTCGGCTGTACCAAACATTGTCTTTGGCTCCCTTTTTTTGTGCACAAAACCTACGTATACCGAATATTAAGCAGTTGCAAATCAACCGAGATTTGACACAGCATGCCTCAGAGATCGATCCTGAGTGGTAGCTTCACGACTTTTAGGATAAACTAAATATCAATTTTGTAACTCAAGATTTAATAAAAACAAAAATAATTTAAAATTTCTGGAAACCTCAAAAGTGAGTGCAACGGCAAAACATCATGAAAACAGCAAATCATAGTATCATAAGAGGGTAGACTTCAGTTAGACAAGAGAGGGGGCTATTCAACATGGCAACGAAATTTTCGGCAGTTAATTTCGCTAAACCGAACAACCGCTGTACCGAACATTTAGCGTGGACCCCGTCGTGTTCGTTGTAGCGACGTTCCACTGTATTTATCACAGCATATGAGAACTTCAACCGGCCTTGTGTTGTGTATGGATGTTGGTCTTAAGCAAGCTTAACAATAACACTGCATACTTTGTGGATCTAGCCAAAAAATTGATGATTTTTTACATTAAACTTACCACAAGAGTTTTGTTAAAACTTTTGGTTAGCTCTGTAAAATAGACACAAATCAGATTAAATATTCCTTATTAGTGGAGCACGTTTAGCATCGCGACAGATGCAGTTTTGTGTTGTCTTGTATACATCTCCTGATATGTCATCACGATTTTAAGACCAGACTGGCCAGAGCCAACCTTGGCGCAGCAAGGGCTAGACGCACTCAGCTACCTGTAGTTCTCACGAAATCATTCATGGCCTCTCTTTGGCAACCTCTTGATGACGCTCTGTCTTGTGAGTCATTCCTACATGTATTGCGGGACCACCTATGACAGTCCTGTCGTACAGTGTGTCTGATGTTTAAATTTTTTAAAATTGATTCTCCCAGTAAGTGGAGTGGCTGTTATTTTGGAAGTGGATACTTCAGTGTATTATGGAACATGTAAGTTACATTAAAGTCCCATCCATCGATTATCATTTCATTCCATTATATTAGCAAGTCGTGCTTGCAGAATCTAGTTTTTAGTTGCATTGTATTATTTATGAATTCTACCTAGTGTGAGCTGTAAATACTTGGAGAAGGTTAAAATATTTGCAGCAAAAACTGCCTTTCTACAGTCCGTACTTCAGTCGGGGCTCACTATGATTAGGGCATAGCATCCTCACTCATGTTAGTCTCAATCATACATGTACATGTGTTTGTAACACCCCACCTTTGGGATTTGTTTGTTACACTACAGATAATCTGGACAATGGTAACTACAAGACAGCCATACAGATGGCAGATAAAGTCCTGAAAAAACACAAAGATCTCCAGTGTGCCAAGGTAGGCAAGAAGTTGTCTGTGCATTTGTGACCACCTTGTGAAAATCAGTCAGAAGTACCCAGAGCCACTTGGGAGGCTTTTAACTCAAAACTGGCTTTGGGGACTTACTGTACATGTAAGGCCTATTTTCACAGAGTTCACCAGCCATTAGTACTGTAATTTTCGGAAGATAGGCCGCTGCTTATACGTTGATTCTCAAGCTGAGTAATGTCCGTGCTGCTTATACTCCAGGCGGCTTATGCGGCGACATTTGAAGAATGAAATCTGTCACAGACACCGCACCGTGCCTCAGCACAGCCTAGCCCGGGCCGCTGGCCAGCCGCCTGGCTGGCCATGCCACGTGTGCAAGCGGCATGGCGCTCAGGGGACACCGTGGACAAGGCCGTCATGTTTTCAAGTTTTTGGCGGATGGCGGTCACACCATGCAAGGATATCTCTTCTGAGCATGTGCGGTTCTGAAAACAGCTGGAGGATGCTTAACATTTCAGACAGTATGCTCTCTCTGTCCCCAGGAGACTAGAACATGGAATGCCAGCAGATCATTTACTTGTATGTTCTTCTTGAGTGCCCCTGGCTAGATCCTAAGAACATCCTCTTCACACCTCACCGCCTCCAGACGTAATATAAGCAGCTTCATCATTGCAACCTCTGCATTCGCCCGACGACAGACAGAGCATACTTTCCAAAATATTGAGTACCCTCAGGTTCTTTTTGGAACCACATGTCAGAGATATCCTTGCATGATGCTTCTGTAAATCTTAATACCTAACGTGCCACCTTCACCATGAAGAACTCCAAAGCTCATCTGGCAGTTAAGTTTCGTTGGTTGCCGTTTGCTCTACTCATGTGTTGGAAATAAAGAAAACCCGTCTAGAGGGACTGAATTGACTTGTAAATGTACTGTAAGTACCATTTACACCTTAAAAATCGTCTTTATCGTTGTGTAATCCGTGCTGTGTATTATTTCACTGGGAAATTGGTGACTGTTGAAAAAGACAAAAAGAACTGCTGCACAGCCCTCCCAGCCAGGACCCTCATTCAACTTGCCAAAGTCGATAATTTCGAGGACTTAGTAAAGTTCAGGTTTAATGGCGACCTTCGTTCGTGTGCTGCTTACACTTGCTTGAATATTGCTCACTCTAAAGTGGAGTGGACCCGTAATGTGGGGCACTTTGAATTGTAAGCCTCTAACGTAAGTATTTATTGGAACAAAACGTAAAATGTAATTGAACTCCCAATATTCTGATTCATAAAATGTCAATTTCACTCACCCACTACAAAGTTCTGATAAAATTTCATTTTGGCCTGATTTTCTAATTTTTTTTTTCAAAAGTGGACTATGAACTCGTTTGAAATGCACTCCAAAATAATATTTATTTTGTGATTGAAGGTTATAAAAATGTACTAAAACTTATCAATTTTAATGAACTTTTGAAATGTGTTGTGGCATTTTCTGAGATTTTTTCAAGTGCGCTAACTTAGGGACACTCAGCACAATTTTTGCCCAATTTCTGGAAGCTGACATGTTTGAATTTCAGAGGAAATTTCATGGTACAGAACTTGTTCACAAAGGTTCAAAGCCTGCATCATGAAGGCATTTAACAAAGTGCTTTAGAAATTTTTAAACAAAGATGTTTGCCAACATTATGTGAAGAGAGTCGTTGGACATCGTCGGCACTGCGGTGTGGATAATATGTTGACTTTAACTCTTAATTTGCAGATTTTTGCATGATGCTGCTCATATTCTGCATGGCCTATATTCCAAAAAGTATGTTAATATCTCATACAAGTCACTTTGAGTTATACATGTAACTCAAACCTTGGCAAAGCATGCAATGTCACGGATTTGACGAATTCAGTATGCCAGAGACATGTACAGGGTATCTCATGCAAGATTGCAAAGGGAAAACTTGCACTTTGAGAGAGATCAGTTTAATACCCCTGTGGATTGTGGGTGTCCTAATTTGCCAAACATCAGATTTTTAGGGGTCACTCAGTTGAAAAAAATGTTTTCCACTTCATAGGTCTTGAAAGCACTTGCACTCCTGAGGATTGGCAAACGCAACGAAAGTCTGGGCCTTACCCAAGACGTGATGGCCACCAAACCGGTGGATGAGCCGACACTGCAGGCCCTGTCCATCTGCTTCCGGGAAATGCAAAAACGTGAGCTGCCAAGAACCTTGCATTTCATCATCTCGTCTTTGTACACGAATGGAATCCTGTAATCTAGGGATTTACCAAGTCCATGTATATTTGGCTTTTGATTGATTATCGAATGTACAAATATTCGTTTTTGAAATTGAATATAGGGGGACCAAAATCGGTAAAAGGGAAAAATCCAATCATATTAATTAACAAAACCACATTCTAAAAAGAATATTTCATTATGTTGCAAGTAAACGTGAAGAATGAATGTGCACATGCTCTACAAAAGGCCTCATATTTACTTTGCATTTTGTTTTCTTTTTTCAGGTTTTAAACACATGTACAGTACATGTACATGTACATTTTATTTCTGCTTTTGTGGGAATTTTTACTGCCGAATATTTGAATATTCAATTGAATGGGAGGTTAAATATTTGAATGAACCTAGCCCTACTGTAACCCAGTCCAGATTACTCTTAGTTCCTCACAGTTTGATAGCTTGACATCAAGACATTGAGTAACTTGGAAAATTATTGATATCTGAACATTTTTTACATCCAGTGTTTACCCACAGGGCTCTTTCGTATCAAAACATCAGCCGGACCGGTTTCACTTGCATTTATTGATGTTCTGAAAGGGAAAAGTGTAACTTTGCTTTTTGGCACCCTCATTTTTCAAGAAACTCAGCAGGGACATGCACTTACATGTAACTGCACTATCATGTAGGAAATATACATGAGACGTGGACTTGACTTGTGGCATGAAGTTGTGTATTACCCAGCATGTGATGCCGTTTTGTTTCTAAAATGGTGGGTGGTTGTGCCTACATGTAGCATTGATTGGAAAATGGCTGCAGATGATAATGCTTTGAAATGCCATGGAGAACAACCACATGGAAAGGCCTTTTTGTTGGACAGTGAGTTAGTTCTTGTGTGATAAACTACTAGTTCAAGCTGGAACCAAGACGGTTTCTAATCTGAACTTGTCCCAACTCTCTTTTGACTCTGCAATATGTCACAACTACACTACCATGCCGAATGTGCCCATCCATGGAGAAATGTTAACCCGAAACTGTGTTTGTTTCCATGTATCACTTCTGACAGCGGAACAGATAATTGAGTTGTATACTACAGCGCTGAAGAGCAACCCCACCAATGAGGAGTTCCACACCCACTTGTTCATGGCTCTAGTCAGAGTCGGTGATTACAAACGACAGCAACAGGTGACTGAAATTTATTGTTTTTGTATATATGCCCCTCTTGAAGTTGTGACCCCTTAAAGACCATCACAAGACTAAGTCACAAGCCGTTCAACTAAACAGCGACAAAAGCTTTCCTTTGTACTCGTTCCTCCTGTTTGTTGTGACTGGTCTTGTAACTGGTCTCAAGACTGCTTCAACTGCCTCAACTGCAACACTGCTACATGTAAGGTCCTGTTTGATTCGAGCAGATCCGGATCACGATCGATGATCCGACGTTGGTTCACCGATACCAGAACCCACGTAATTCATGGAGCAAACCATTGTTAGGATCACTTAGCCATGTGAAACAAACAGGCCCTAGGTGTGTATGTTCAATGGCTGATGTGACCCTTGTCTTGACCCCTGCCCCTACTTGTGAGGAGTCCACTGAGTCCTGTAACTGAGGTCATCAGGGCCACCAATCTGTCGGGCCAATAAACCTTTTCAACATGCACAGTACATGATGGGACACATTTTATGCACAACCCTGTAAGATAAATGTCCATGTACCTTCAAAATGTTGATCAGTTTTCATCTGATTAAATTCTTTAAATCATTGCAGTGTTACACTGAATAAATCTGTTGAGTCATTCTTGTGGCTGAGTTCGGCGGCTTGTTCTCGTATGTTCCCAAACAGCTTGATTTGTTGTTCTTTGGTCAGCCGCTCTAACACCGGGAACGTACAATTGGTTATCGCTGGTAATCAGTGACAAGCAACATGGCGGCGTTCATTTACATTATTCGAGAGTTAATGATTGGATAATTGGGCTGAATTTTTTGCCAGTTTAAACAGGAACATTCACTTCTGTGTTATGGAAAATAATTTATGTTAATTTTGCAAAACTTCCCATTGTCTATGGCTTTGGAAGCCATATCTCTACTTTTTGCAGCTGTTTAAAAATAAAAAGTATATAAAGAGTTTTTCCGTGTGTTTCTGTAAAACCCTGACAAGGAGGTGGTGTGTGATCCTGTTCCGAGAACAGTGTTCTTGAGTCATGTTCCCGCCATTCGAGCGCGAGAGCAAGAAACCCCGTGTCAAGAGCAGGCCGCCCAAACTCGACTTGTGTGTCCCACCTGACCTTTGACATAGAAATATCACCGGAATGGATTTCAAAGTATAACTATTTATTTGGCAGGTTATTTGCATTAATTCATCACTCTTGAAAATTAGAACTTACAAATGTCATATGTCAGATGTGACAGGGACACAAAAAAATTGGACCCCTAATTTCTAGAATACCATATTAACGATTCCCTGCCGGATGCTTTTAAAAATGCAGTGCCTACATACGAGCGATTTTTCAATATCTTTGGTTTTCAAAAAACTTCAAAAAATTTTCTGTGTGTTTTCCTGAATGCCTAAACACCATGGAGTGACTGTCTGGTGGCTACTCTAATCTGACAGACAACATCTATTGATGCCAGAGTATTTCAGCCAGGCCTGCCGCCTTTTAAAAAGCCCAGATTGTGTGGAGTTACATAAGTTTCTTTTGTTCTGTGCACTGCTAGCATCTTTTCAATATGGCCAGATGAGCGTGCAGTGGTAATGTATCACTCATCACTGGAGTGCTGGAGCGTTTTTATCCCCAGTGGTTATTCGCCCGCACTGAATGCCACAAACAGTGGTATAATCTTTCAAAACAATGATGGATTTCCTCCCCTATTGACAACTGAAAAAATGTTGAATGAAAATGCAATTCCCGGCAGCTCTATCTTTCGTATCGAGTATGGCCTAAGACCCACAGCTCTTTTGTTGGATTTCGGGCAACCGGCTCTATGTACAAACCCAAGGTACCGGTACCCGAAACCAGGCTCCTCGGCAGGATATTGTCAAGAAAAAATTGATTATTAAAGCTTACCAGGAAAGAATAAACTTCAAGATTTAGGGAATGTCCAAAAGATTTTGATGTTTTAGGACAGTGTAACTCTTGAATGGCTACCTCTTCGAATCCAATCATCCATCTGTCATGACCTTATATTTTAACCTTCTGCTCCAAAAGCATAAATTTGTTATAACCAGCTGGGGGAGACTTAAAATTCACCAAATGTTTGAATGTCAAAACTTGGAAAAGTGAGGTTTATGCTACTTGTACAGTATGTACCTATGGATTCATACGTATGTACGTACCCGGATTCTATATGACCAGTATATCCATTTTAGAAGTTTCCACGTGTACTTCCAGGAAAGTGTGACTTAGTAAAACTCAAAAATTGGATATGTAAGTGTAGCTTTGTGCATTTATTCAGTTATTCCCTGTTTTCACTGCTTTTTTGTGATTATTCTTTTGTGAGTTGGGTACCAAGAAACGTGGCAAAGGATTCCTCTTCTTAGGCCAGTGTTGGGCCATGTTTACCACTCCTTTCCATTTCTGCCTGCCTTGCGTACAATCCCGAATTGCCATATTATGGTTTAAACTGGTTTCCTCACTTGACAGTAAGGCAGTTCAAGATTTCCTGAGTTTTTGGTTGAACTACATGCCTGCAACAGCAGAGCCAGCGTCAGCAGTATTCAACGGAAAGTTCTTGTTCAGAAGGAATTACAAAATCTCAAAGGGTTTAAGTAGCACTTCGTTTTGCTGTTGTGTATGCACCAACATCTGTGCAAATGAAATTACCCGTGTGCCTGAACTCGTTTTTGATTGGAAGAAAATTTTTGACTGTCCACTTGTTTACTATGTTGTACATTTGCCGTAAATTTGGGTGCTATTATGTGTTTGTTCGGATCAGAGTTTCATTATTGAATCTTGTCATGGCCTTTCACAGTTGGGATGCCGATTTGCCAAACTTCCTTCCTTTGATTTGACCATGCAGAACCTCCACAGTCATGACAGTCCCTGTACTAAGGCCACTGACATTTTCACTTTGCATTTGCAAAGTTGCAACTTATCCTGTTTCATTGAATCCAGCCTGGTTTCTTTCAGGAACTCAAAAGCCCGTGGCTAAGTGATTAATTCTTTCAAAGGATGCTTTCCACTGCATTTCCCAACCCATGTTTATCATCATCACCCGACTTATATGATAGCGCTGATTCCCAAATGTATGATAAATTCTTGCATTTGTACAAATTTGAGAATGGCATAATCAACACCAATCACACTATCACGCCACACTTGAAAAGATGATGGATGACGATAAGCCGTACTAATCACATCATTTGAGGTGCGGCAGCGTGTGATGTTTCATATGTTTAGCTTTGTGTTAATCACTCCATTAATCTTTCTGCAAGAGCTGTTTGTCTCTGTACCACCTCTATGGAAATGTGAGCATCTGTGTAACAGCGGAGTGGAAACCCTCCATAGTTTGGGGGAAAAAAATCAATTTCATGATTTCTTTTACCACTTGTCTCTGAAAACTACATTCGCTGCGCATTACAGATTCATGGAGGGAAAAGTTAGAGTCAAAAATGGTATTAATCCTAATCCTTCAAACACCCACATATATCAGAAAGATGATGAAAGACATCGTAGGTAATTTTTATCTGAGAATGGATTGCTTCTGAAATCTTAAACCGGATGAAATTTAATTTCTTGTTAGGAAGTTGAAACTTGACAAAATATTTTTCCCACAACCACAATTAATTTAGGTGAAAGAAGTTCCGAATCTGTCAAAACTAAAAGGAGTCAAATCATGTGCCTAGATGGTAAATTCAATTTGGCTCCTCAATCACGTTTGACTTTCAGTTTCAGAAAAGTAGTGATTTTCATCAAAAAAATGGAAGTCCCTGCACAAGTGAAAATTGGCCATGCTGTTGCCAACCACAGTAGTGTTGTTTGTAATTCATGAATAAAGAGGAGTTTTATTAAACCTTAAAGTTGAAATAGAAGTGTATTTGTTATTACTATGGTCAAGCAAGGAGGTTGAGGTATTGTATTTGCCATATTTTAGCTTCAGATAAAAAAAAATCCAAAGTCAGGGGTGACAAAAATTTGGCAAAGCTGGAAATGTAAGGAGATCCCGGGGACAGACCTCTAAGGGCAGCCTAATCAACATAATGTAACAAATGGATTAGAACCAGCTCACCAGAGCTGACCACTACAACAGACTGACTGCCTGTTTTCAGATGTCTTCATAAAGAAGTTCCGAATTTTGGGTTCAGTGTTTCCTCAGTGGAAGTAATCATTTTTGAGTCCATTTATCCTATCTGTCAGGTAGATGAATTGCATTTAGCAAACCACAATTAATTTGCCATCTATCCGAAGTTTATTTCCGTCCCCCCACCAGTTTTTTTCAGTCACACTAGTAAATCCCAAAGTGAGATGAGAAAGGTTCATAAATCTTACCGTAATTCATATGCCACGCTCCAAGATTGGTTTTAAATCAGTTTTTGCGTCCCCTGTGACAAGGTTTTAAAGTGTAACTTTGTGTTTGTGTAGTGCAGTCAAATGCTCTTGTAATTTTCTTGTCGTTGGATGTGGAATTTATGAATTCCAGTTCTTTACCCAGGGTATGCCCAAACAGTTGCAAACTGGTTTCCATTGGGGCCCTGCATATTACAGACTATTAAGTAACGGTAAACTCACATCACAAGATTAGCACGTGTACAGAATAAAATAGTTTAAACATATATGTACATCACAGAATAAGCAATGAACATGACACTGGTAAAAAAAAACTAATTTACTCATGTTGTACATTGTAAAACAAACTGAGTTGCTGATCATGTTAACAAAATGAAGAAACCCATTGGGAAGAACGGGAAAATTCCCCTCTGGCTCCAGTATACTTCGTAGTATGTTGGCATTATGACTCCGCAGATTAGCTTATGATTAAACTCAGTTTTCGCCGGTTAATTGAATAGTTCTAATTTGAAAGTTGCTAAGGACTCTATCATTCAAGGTTGTTCAGGTAGATTATTCCATATTGTTGTACCACTCACAGCAAAACCTTGCGCATAGCATTCCTTTTGGCTAAAGGGGACTTTCAGTGTTTTGTTTAGTTGACAACCCTTTTTTCACGATTTTGTGTGACTGTAGTAAAGAGATTCGTCATACATGTATACTGCGGGGTCATTTTGTTTAGGCATTCAAAAACAAGAATAGCCTTTTTAGATTGGACTGGGTCAGAAAATGGAATCCAGTTTATGTGTAGGAAATAACTCTGCTGAAGGGATGAGGGGTACGCTTAAGGAGAAGCCTTGCAGCTCTTTGGAAATATTTGTTGAGAATTGTGTCATGCGATGTGTACCTTCCTCCCCATGCAGTACAGCAATATTCCAAAATTGGCATAACGAGATGCATGAAGAGTGTTTGTAAACTGCTTTGTGTAATATGATCACAGATCCTGTTTAACATGCCTAGTTTGGTGGACATATTCCACATATGGACTGCAACTTAGTGTTTCATCCATTATAACTCCCAAGCATTTACATCTCTTTTCTTAGACAATAAGACTATCGGCAATGTAAACGTTCAGGTGTGCATTAGAGCCTTTTTGCCTTCTACCGATAAGTGTGCATATTGTTTTGTTTACATTTAGTCTAAGTTTATTTTTTACGCACCAATTATGGATTTTGTCCACAGCTGCATTAAGATTCCTTTCTATTTCATTAATTCTAGAGGAACTGTACATCAGAGTAGAGTCATCTACGTAAATGAACAAGTCACAGTTCGGTGGCATACAAGATGATAAATCATTAATGTAAATAATAAATAGAAGCAGACCTAAGATGGACCCCTGTGGGACACCAATGTTTAGTGGCATAACTTTTGATACATTGCCTTCGATATTTACAGACTGGCTGCGACCACTCAGGTATGATTTAAACCAACTGATTAAGAAAATCAACATTTTTAGCCCCTTAAGTTTGTCAAGAAGAATTTCATGGTTAACACGATCAAATGCTTTACTAAGATCGACATGTATGAACACACTACCTGTATCTTCTCCGCTCTCCATAGCCTGGAAACTTCGTGAAATCATGCAGGGTACCATCAGTTGAGTGTGGGGTTCTATATCCTGACTGGCAACTTGGTATCAGATTATTTACATCAAGGTATGCATAAAGTGTTGAGTGTACCCATCTCTCCAATATTTAGAGACAGTTGGCAGTATAGAGGTGGGTCGATAGTTACTTGTACTGCATTTACATGTATCTCCTCCTTGGTGGACTGGTGTGACCAAGGCATTTTCCAGTCTTTTGGAAATCTTGCAGTCTGTAGAAAGATTAAAGAAATGAATTACATGGGAGCTTTTGGAAATGTATGGAGAAGCCATTGTAATCATTCTAACACTTATTCCATCCAGACCCGTTGTTTTCCCAGCTGACATTGATGATATTTGCTCTCTGACAAACTCTTCTGTGATTTTGGGCATTCATTATCAAAAGAATCACTAATAGGACCAGTGTCCTTTCTGAGCTCGCATGAAGTGCCATGACCAGCTATACGTTTCCGATTGTAGAAAAGTATTCGTTCAATGTATCAGCGATGTCAGTGGGATTATCAATATTTTCCCCTCTCAAGGAGACGATAGAACTTGGAAGACTATTTTATTTCTTTGGAAGAACCTCCTTAAACCATAGCATAGATGAATTGTTTTTTGTTTCTTCTTTAGCTAATGTGAGGTATTCACTTTCCTTCGTGCTTTTTATAGCCATCCCAGTCAGTTTGTGATCCTGAACATTTAGCAATTTTGTGTACGCGATCTCTTTGTCGCATTAGCTGGAGAATTTCACCATCAAGCCATTGTACAGAGGTACCTCGATTATGTTATGTTTTAATTGGTGTGTGGAAGTTGATAACGCCCATAAGCAGCAAGTGCCAAAGAGACCATGCCTCGTCAACATCATGACAATTCAGGACGTGGTGCCATGCTGCATTAATGGCGTCTTCCACTAGAGCATCGGTGTCTGTAGCTTAAAACATGGAAAGTTTAATAATTGGGTGGCTTTTCATTATAAGAATGACCTTTTTCATTCATTGAAGTTGAACTTTGTGTCAAACAACTTGTGATTTGTCACTTGTTTGGCTGCAGTTTCCCACTTTAGAGAAATTGCCATTTTAACCAATTGCAGATTTGTAATATATCCCAGTAGAAAAAACAAAGAGACAGTTTCATGTACACGTACCACATAATTGTGCTGGTCGCATCGGTACAGGCGGAGAATTACAACTGATGAATTACGTATTCTATTTCAGAACCTTACGTGGACACTCGGCAAAGGTGTCTTCACTGAACTAAGCTCTTCTCTGTAGATTTTTGGTCACGCCTCACTGACACCAGTAAACAGTATATCATTAATGTATCAAGCATCCTATTCATAAAGCATTGAATAACAGACCTACCATGATAGACAAATTACGTCATTTGTCTTGTCCAGGAAGTGTGCCTTTGCAGCCTTTTCTCTGGGGGAATGATTGCTTTGAGCTGTTTATCTTAGAACCCAAATTATCTAGCGGCTTGTGAAAAAAAGACTTTTATATTTTGTTTAAATTGAAAAATTCTTTTGCAGAGCCAGATACAGTGGAGTTTGGCGCATTATTATACAAACAGCTTGAAAAGCACTGTTTGTTTTATTGGTCGACCCTCTGCTGAAGCGGAAACCTGGGCTCTTGATTTGTTCTTGCTGTTGCTTCTGCACTGGTCCAATCAATATACATCAGCAAAATGTTGTGAATTCGTCCATTGTTCGTAATTGTTGTATGAATGTGTCATCATCACACTTTTTTTTATCACAGGTTGCTAAGGACATGTACAAAGTCTTTCCCAAGAACCCCTACTATTTCTGGGGAGTAATGAGCACAGTTTTACAAGTAAGTGAACATTGGCCAGAGAACTTCTAACAGATACATGTAATTGTTGCAGTTTTATTTCCATTTTTTTTAAAGTAAATGATATGTATTTAACTTAGCGCTGTCAGGAAGAAAAACATGCAAAAACTTTCAAAATTGCTTCATAACATTTAAGTGAGAATTTGATTTGGTTAATATAATTTGCATTTTGCAAGTGCCATCAGCTGGTTTAATTTTCAAATATCGTTGTTAAAGGTGGCACAAGACATGGACAGTTTCCAGGGACTTGCTGTGACCAGGCAAAGGTTTTTGTTGTGATGCTGCCATGTCTGTCTTGTTCCCATGGACAGAGTAATACAATTTCACATATTGGAAAAAGGGAACCTCAGTTTGGTTGCATTGTTTTGAATGGTAGGAAAGCAAGATAGCTGCCCTATGGTAGAGGTACCCTATGGTAGAGGTACCCTATGGTAGAGGTACCCTATGGTAGAGGTACCCTATGGTAGAGGTACCCTATGGTAGAGGTACCCTATGGTAGAGGTACCCTATGGTAGAGGTACATGTATATTCCTATTCTCCCCCCCACCCACTGTTCAGGCTCTCACATCCACTGATGAGAAACTGGCCCAGACGATGTACCTGCCGCTGGCAGAGAAGATGGTTGAGAGGATGGTCAAGGAGAGAAGAATGGAGGCAGAAGCCGAGGTCAACATCTATCTTATGATCCTAGGCTATCTGAACAAGCACGAGAAGGCAATTGAAGTCCTGGATGGAGAGATGGGAAGTAAGTTGTCGTACAAGTTTTCCAAGTTTGAAATGTGAGTTAGGTTGCATTGTTCAAAGGCAGGTCCCCCTTTTTTGGTATTTACGTCGCCTCATCTGATGTTTTTGCTTGGTGTACCAACTGCAGCATAGGGTTTAAAATGACAGACTCAAAAAGACAGGAAACTCTTCAACTGTCTTCCAGTGGTAATAAATCATCACTTGCTCGGCATATAATGGTACACTTACAAAGCATGGCTTTATCCAAGTTGCCACCGCCTGTATAGTCATGAAGAATTTATAGGGATGACGTGCCAGGATTACCAGGATGACTTAGTGCGACCCTTCGAGACCGAGCCTGTGGCAGGATTGGAAACCCGACACAGGTCTGGTGGACAAAAAGGGTCTTCTTTGGGAATTCATTTGCCAAAAGTCGGCAGAGCGTGAAGAGCTCAGTGATCCATTCTGAAGATGTTTCCAACAGCAAGCAGGAGGTAATGGGTTTGTCTCCCTTCCATGCTTGCCAACAGGAGATTTATTACACTTCACAAATGAATTACAGTAATAAAAATGAATTAAGATATCAAAGCACACAGTAATGACAAGTCCAAGCTTTGGTACATGCACAAGGTATTTTGCTGCTGTAAAGTGTAGGACTTTACAACATAGTAATCTTCATTGTGCTAACAATGTGAACCAAAGGTCTGCTTCAGTTGCTTGTTTCAAACACTCTAGAGTCTTTCAACTCGACAAATCTCAAGGGGTATTTTTTCGCAATTTTATGCTAATTTATGCACTCAGTACTACGTAGGGGCTATCGGTCCATTTTGTTACCAAGTGCATAAAGTAATTAATAAGGGGGGTTTATTGTTCTGCATGTTAGCATTCAGTTGAAAGACCCTAGAGAATATTCCAAACATGCAATAAAAGCAGACGTTAGGTGTGTCTTGTAAGTGTGAGCAACGGCTGTGATGGCTGATGCATTGCCCCCCCCAAAAAAAACCAACAGCTTGGACTTGCCCAAAGAAAAGAGTCAGAGAAGTCCAAACCACTGAATAGTTCCTTACTCTGAAGAGATGGAGCAACAGGTGACCTGTGCCTCTACGAGGCCATCCTACCATGAGACTAACTACCGTACTTGTACTTGTGTCCCATAAAGCCTAGCCTATGAAGCAAAAGTACATGTACATTGTACTTTGTCTCTCGTGCTGTGATGATACCGAGCATGCAGTGAAGCACCTTGTGTAAGTGACAAAACCTAAACACTCCCGAATCCCATGAAATCCATCAGAAAGTTTGGGAAGACTTGACAGAGTTTGAGGAATGCTTACTTCAGCAAGCGTTGTTTCTCCTTGGAATTGCTTAATTGCCCTTGAAAGTTACAAAGAATTGGCCTTTCTTTGTCAGAGAAGGGAACTACACAGGGTGGTAGAAAGTTTCTCATGAAAAAGGTTACCTTCATTCAAGCTTGTTTGGTTTAAATCATGATTTGAATTGCTTTAAAAATGTAAAAAAAATCATTTGAAGAAATCACGTTAAAGAAGCCGTAAACTCTTTGGGGTATTTGAAAAGAAGAAATGGCTGAATTCAATATACTGATGTGTTTAAAACATTTCCATACACCCAGAATTGGGTCACTTTGTTTCTGATGTTTCTCTCTATACTTATTTGACATTTACATGTGTGCCTGCAATACTTTGTACTCCACTCTCCATTTTGTATGACAGCATGTAGGCCCATGTACATGCATGTATGGAATCAATGGCCATTCCATTTACGTGCATTGAGATACAGCAGAATTGCCAAATACCGGTATCATGGAAAGCAGTGTCGCCAAATATTATGAAAATTGGAATACCAAAGATGTGTACTAATTCCATAAAGTCTCTCGAAATGTTACGTGTTAGCTAGTACAGAAGTTTTATCCGGATTGAAGAAGCGAAGACACTGATCTTTAATCATCTTGTTTTTGTCATTGAAATTTGCATGAACAGTTTTTTCATACTAAAAGTTTGTGTGTATTTCAGCTTACAGGTAACAGGACTTAGCAAACTTTTGTGCTTGATTAGAAATAAACGGTTCAACATGTGATAAACTTAACCCCAGCAGTCAGTCAGCACTTGTGTCCTTTGGTCATCACATGGTATACAGTATGTATATCATGTCTTGAACTTCAGGACCAATCCTTCTGGCCAACTTATACAAAGGTCGATTTTTAAAAAATTGATTTAAATAATTAAAACCTGATTTAAATTTTTTTTTGAAAATTATGATTTTCATTAATTGGGTTTGGGGGTGATTGCAAAACACTCCCAAAATTTTAAAAACAAAGTTCTGTTGTTAGGTCAATGTGTACATTTTATTCAATAATGTATTTTTAAATTACAAATGAGGTCCTCAAATTTAAATATCATGTATATAGAAGTGTTAAAATATTAACTACCAGATATCTAAGGAAAACCAAGAAAATCTACCTTTCATCTAATGAAATGTCTCTGAAATTTTGATGTTAATATGTCTAGACATCAGACACATTCCAAGAGACTGAGGCTCCAGTCACCTGAGTCAGTTGAGGATGCTACACTTTCTCCAGATTGCCAGTTTGTTTTTCTAATTTTGGATGGACAGGAAATGAGTCTAGACAGTGTGTAGTTAGTGGTGTCACTGGGGTGGATTATCGTCGCCGTGCGGACAATGATAAATGCTTGTAATACATGTAGGCGCAGAATAATGAAATACGGATCGTCACGGTATTTGACCTTTTCCTGAGAAGAGCATTACTCTGTTCAAAAAACGTCGCTAGTTCGTGGTGCAAATCCTTCAAAAAGATGCTATTGAAGTCTGTCAACGAAACTGTTAATGGCAAGATTTTTCCAAGACGTGAAAGAGTTTAGGTCAAATGACATCTTCGGTTTCTACTCTCATGCTACTTACACCTGACGTTATGATTTTTTGCAGCTTCAAGTGGCTTTGTGGAGGCTGGTCCCATTTGTCATTAAAACAGATTATAAGTAATTATTTTTGTCATGCACAGATACACGTACATGAATATGTTCACTCTATTGTACATACTGGCACTTAAGATGTGACTGTAATTTATGTATTCATCTGCACCATATCCACTGCATACCGAGAAATGAACTGTTTATTATATTGCCCCTCTGGGAATTTTTATTGTTGTGTGAGACTACGTTTGCCCTGTCGTGAGTCATCACAGACGCTGGAGTCTGCAGCCGACTGCTTGGATCAAATTTTCGATGGATTACTCACTTCTAATGGCGTACAAATTGAAAAAAATGATCTTCAGTTGACATTTCAATGTCTGAGTTGACGTGACTTTGTTTGACTCATCCTAGTATGAAATCTGTTTTATTTTGTTATTTTTTGGTGATGGGGAGAGACAAGGGTACTTCAATAGATGGATATTTTTAGTCGTTGCTGGTCCCCTGTTCCATGTATACCCTGACAGCCAAGAGGAAAGATTGTAACCATCCATAAAGTGCAGCGACCTGTGGGGTAGAATTGCAATACATGCTGTGCGTGTATTGATAAATACGTGTAATCTTGTTAACATCTCAGTGTAACTCAGCTGGGACTTTTGTGGACTTGTGGCTTACAGTGTGCAAGTATTTTCTTTTTCAAAAATCAAAATTTTGTTTGTACAGTTTCTATTCCACTCGAAAATTGGTCCTCCTGTGAGATTCTAAAAACTTAACATGCATTTCCCAGCGATTTTGCACAGTTCTGGACTGCATATGTACTTCTGTGGGCTAATAAGCAATATCATTTCTGATGATGCAGCTGCACTGTGTCCTGTATAGCATTCACACTAGTTGCAACCCTGTACAAACAAAGCCGTAATGTTTCCAGATGGGGTTGGGGATGATTGAAGCGGGAAGAGGGATGGGGGCAAGTTACCTCCCTAGGGGTGTTATGTACCCGTGTACCACCTTTTTGGGGGGGATTGAGGAGTTATTTCATACCTGATGTTGCCGCATGGGAGTATCGAGTACGCGCAGCCTATTTACGTATCTCAGAATGTATGGTCCTCTCATGTGGTCCGGGCACATGCACGAGGCTGGGTGAAAAATTTCCCCCCAGCCTGTTTTTCTTTTGTCACTGAGGGTGCACTTCAACTCAGAGCTGATTGGAGCCGGTGACAGTTATTTCTACTGCAGAATTACAGTTTGTTTTTGTAGCCCCAAAGATACTGAAGATTGCAATCCGCCTTGAGCAAAAGTGCCCCCTCATCAGTTAAACAGAGCGGTGTCGGTCAGGAGTGTTGAAATTTGCTGGTAGCGACGTGACTGCTGTGCATGCATTTCATAGTCATTCATGGACCTGCTAAGTTCAGTTCCAACCAAAGGAGCCTCCGTTGCCAAGAAAACGGTGCCCTCTGTTGGTCCAACTCGAGGCTCATGTAGCATATTTCTAAGCTCCTGTCGTGATTCATCTCATTGGCTGTCCGACTGTTATCCCTTTTTATGCTTCTTGCTTCAGTATGACTCACAGTTTGTTACCTTTATTTTTCACGTGGAGCAAATTGCCACAAATTAAGGCCGATTTCATTACGACCAGGTCAGTAATTCCATTTCACATCCGCAAGGTAGAGACAGGAGTCATTGGGGTTATTAAACTGCATCAAAAGGCCAAAAGGCCATCACCGGAATCAGCATCAGTGGCATCCTGTGTTTTAGTTTTCTTGTCTCACTGATAAAATTCTCCACGATTTCATAAACTGAAAATGTTGCCTGTTTTCATTCACATCACTCCTTGTTGAAAATGTGTAATTTTCCTGTGTTTATATTTTCACTCTGCTCTGGGTGTTTATGGGTAAAAGCACCCTTTCCAAAAAAGTTTCATTTAAACTAGCATGGAAAAATTGAATTCAAAAATTTGGTTGCCTTTATATCGATGGTGTCACAAAAATGCCTTGGGTAATTGACTTGCTATCTGCTGAAGTGGAAACATTACTGTTACTTTGTAGAGAATCTCAAATGTACACGTGTATTACATATTGGATAGCACTTCCAAAGGTAAAGAGTTTCTTTAACACGGCAAGGAAACACTGAAAAAATATGAAGTGCAATCCCTTCATATTCACATTCAAATTGGGGAAAGCACAGGGTGAATGTACGTGTATGATGGCTTAACATCTGGGAAAACTTCCTGGATGTAAATAATTATGAGAAGTTCATAGCTTTAGTCACTGATCTGTGACGCAATGGGCATGTACAATGTCCCCCCCCCATTAAAAAGGGTTATAACTGCCATGTTCTGACAACCATGGATGCAAAGCTCCATGCTTTTATGAAAAAGCATACAATTCATCCCTCCTACCAGATTACAGGAGACACATAAACTCGTATCCACAGAACTTAACTTGGATCTCAATGGCTTTGTCCCCACTGAAGACATCTTTTCCATATGAGAGGATTATTGCATTGCATCCCAGACAATGGTCTGGCTTTCCTTGCATGTTTTGTGGCTGGACATTTGTTACAAACGAGCTTCCCCTGTTCCCCTTGAGTGCTAACGACCATATATTACAGCAGTAAATAAGGCCATTAAAATTTCAAGGACATTGTACCTGTTGAAATTGAATTTTTAGTTTGTCCAATTTAATTTTGGGGGGGGGGCATCACAAGGAAGGGGAGCCAGAGGTCAGCCACTTTAAATACTAATCAGTCTAAAATTTCTTGCGCTAATTGACTCAAACATTATATGGCCAAGGTTTGTTTTTTTTTCATTTACTGAAGCAATATCAGCTTTCTTTGCCAAAAGGTCGAAGGATTTAGGCGATAGGGACAGTATTGGCACTTGCAGTTCTTTAGGATTTTTTGGGGAGGTGTTTTTTTCTTTTGTCGTCATATTTTATTGTTTTCACGCTTTTGTGACTGATAAATTTAAATGTGAAAATTTGGTACATATGCCTTTGTTATAGGACATAGTGATTATACATCAGGAGAGGGTATTTTTAGTTGATACATACTAGGCAGTGTCATGAAATTTTCAAGGGAGTAGTGATTTGTTTTGTTCAGAAACTACGGCATGGAAAGTTGTAAGGTTCTTAAGAATGAGGCACGTGAAGTTTGTCGGGCAGTGTGCTACATTTATAAGGTTTGCAATCACTGCAAAGTGTGGCATGGAAGTATCAACAAGAATTTGTCCAACGTGCAGAATTTGTTAGCCAAGGATGGGGGTGTATGTTAAATATGATTAAATTTACATGTTGTGAGTCTTTTATACACCATCTGAACATACATGCGTAAACAGCTATTTAAACCTTACAGTCAACCATAAATACAGTGACCTGTTTAAAACACCTATGTTTTTTTATTTCACTCAAAAAAGCTTTGGTGGAAAAAAATTCAAATCTGTTTTACCTTCCTCCTACCTGCAGAATTCTTGAAGGCTGAGGTGGATGCTTGCCCCATCCGGAAGGCAGAGCTTCTGTGCAAGATGGGGCGGTGGGCGGAGGCAAACTCTGCCTACAAGATACTTCTCACAAAAAGGTGCTGTAAGCTCCCTCTTGAAGTTTTTATGGTTCCGGTTTCCAATCTGTGTCAGTATTGAAACAAGGCTGTTGACAGCAATGCCAAATAATTTTGCAGGATTCTCCCTTCACTGGCTCCTTTCTGTCATGTTTGTCTTCTGTGTAGTCCGGACAATTGGCTGTTCTGTAAGCAGTACTTTAAGACAGCGCTGGCGCTCATTGAAAATAACTGGTCCCCTCCTGCGGCAGGAGAAAGCGGCAGGTAAGCAGTTTGATCAACAAAGTGGATGAAGATGCAACCCTTGCTATCATAGTGGGTAGGTGTCCAGAATATCTCTGGCTTGACACTTGGGATTTGTGAATTCATTCCTCAAAGGTGAGATCCTCCAGCTCACCGCAGTTTCCATGTTTACTTCATAAACAATTGCTTGTCTAATATGAGGCCAAGGTTCAAAGAAGTTTCATTTGCTCCCTGAAGTAATCCTTTAAAAACCATAACCTGACTACAACAGCTGATACAAGTTGATGAACAGAGAATTTTAACTTCAATGCGAGTTTTGACATTAAACACACGTGGAGATTGTAACCGTTCAGGACTTAATGTTTATCGAAACTATGCCTTTACATTTGTTTGGTAGTGGAAATGGCAACGTGAGTCAGCCGGACTATACAATAGACATGGTGCTCAATTTCATCCAAGAGAAATCAGAGGCTGAGAAGAGAGCAGCCAAGGAGGGCCATGCCCTCCCAAGAGGCATCTTCCTCTCTGGGATACAGTTGCTGAGGATTCTTAAAGAGAAAGAGTCTCCGCACATATTAAAGATGGGTAAGGACATTCAATATTTCATATTGAACCATCTGTCAGCCATTCCATTGTTAGCACTTACATAGCTGCCACATCAATATCCATATTACCACTTTCCTTTTACTTGTGTATTGTTTTATGAACTTGCACCGATGGGTACAAGTTTCTCCCATGTACAATTTAGACACATGACATGGATCTTGAAGCCATTTTAACGTAGCTCCAATATGACTGGCACTGGTCTATACTTATTTCTGAATGTTGATGAAAGTTTCAAATCAACACATGTCCTTCATTTTCTTTTTCTGACACAACATGACCTCTGATAGGACCGAGCACTGAACTTTTCAAATGCTATTTTGACTTGTTTGGAGACCGGCCCTGTTGCTACGACGACCTGTGTCAGTTTTTGCCCCTCATTGCGCCAGAGGACCACCAGGGTTTTGTGCAGAGTCTTCTTGACACGTTGGAGATGGAGCTGAGCGATGATGGAATGAAATATGCAAAATCAGTAAGCTGTTTTTGCATTATTTCAGAAGTACTCTTGACAAAGATTATATTATCCAATAATTTGTAACGGCAGTTATTTTTTTTCTTAAAGTTCATTTTGCTTTTCCTTGATCTTAAATAGTTTAATTGATATCTTTCTAACTTGGTATAAAATTGACAGGTTGTTGCATGAATCGTTATATTGTGAGTCACATCTTCCACAAAGACATAAGTTTGACCTGACCAGAAACCATTTGTTGTGTTCATCAATAAAGTATTTCAACCTCAGCAATTGCTAGTCTGTGATGACCAGATGTGTCTAGTTTTCTAATTGAGGACCAGCATTTGTGTGACAGTGCCCTGCTGTTTTTTTTCCCATGTTTACGAAACAAAGGAACTGTGAAGGGTTTTGAAGTACAAAACTTACTCGGCAGAGGTTAAGGCTGTGTCAATTTTAATAATTCACTATTTGAATCATGTCAATTCGATCGAATATCCGAATATTCAGTCATATCTATTGGCAGATTGTTGATGAATAAACCACATACAAAATCACTCGCAAAAACGCACACTATTGTACACTTTAATCACTGTAATAGCTTCTCACATCTCTACAAATATCTCCAACCACAATTTAGCAAGATTTAAGAGACGAATAATACCCCGTTTCCTGTTGAAAATGTAGAGTCCTTTAAAACGTTGTAATACATCATGTACTTTTTAATCGTAAGGTTTCTGTGGTTTCTCATTTGAATATGCTTGGAACAAGCCTCCATCGTGCAATTTTTCTCATTTGAAACAAAAGAAAATTCTCCTTTCCCTTTCTTGTATTTTGCATTCAAATAGTCAGATTTGAAAAAAGATATTCAAATATTTTATGAGTAAATATGCGGATATTCAGCACAGCCTTAGCTGAGGCTTACTTTAAAAGGGTTTTGAATGTGTGTAGCTAACCTCGTGAGTAGAGTAATTTTGAAGGGTTGAGAACTGTGAATGAGAAGGGGGTGCAGAAAAAGCCAACACGTCTTCAGAACTGTGCCCGGTAATAAAAAGACTTTTGGATTGGTAACGCCAGCGTACCTGGCATTGACGTTCTTGCCGCAGGTAAAGCAAATCTACAGGCACCTGTGCATCCTGAAGATCAGTCGCAGGTTAGGCCTTCAGGACAATCTCTCTCAAGAAGAGAAGCTGACCCTTGCCAAGGAGCTCATCAAACGCAGCGAAGCAGCGCAGAGTTATGGCAAGGACCTGCTCTGTACTGATTTACAGTATGGAGATGAATACCTGCTAATGGCTGTGCATTTGCTCATTGATATCTGGGAGGAAACAGGTAAGATTTATGCATTCTTTTTGTTACAGTACACTGGTCACAACAGCTCCAGGAGCTGTCCATTAGGAGTAGAAATACATTTTACAGAGAATCCAGTAATTGCATGAAAAGATATTTAGGTAAAATGCTCATAAATTTTGTAAGTCTAGCTTAAAATGGTTGTAAATCTTGAACGTGAGTATGACAGTTGTATCAGATTTGAAACTTACTACCATTCCAGCATTTATGATTTTCACGGAAATCACTTCTCTGTAGCAAACCTGTCTCCCAATTGCCTAAAATTTATGGAGTTTTTAATCACTAAAGTACATTTTCAACTTAAGCTTGCGTTGATGGACTTTGAAGCTCCATGTAGTGGGCTCAGCAATATTGTAATTCTAGTATTTTTAAATTGGATAAGGCGTTTCATTTGTTCATTATGAAATTTGATCATTGTGCTTCATTTTACCCACTCAGAAAATCCTTTCTTGTTGCCAGGTTTTCACAAGAAACACTTTCATCACTGTGTAGTCTCTCTCCATTGTTAGACTGTATCCAGAAGTTCAATAGTCTATTCTTTTAGTGTCTAATCGCTTCTTAGTCTTGGTCAAATTGAAATTAATTTTCTAGAACAAGTTTGAAGTCTTGCTGTATTAGTGCTGAACCATTACTCAGACTATGGCATGGGCAGTGGCTCAATCTGAGTCTGAGAGATGGAGATTTTGGATGTGATATTATGTTGGGTTCAGATTTAGAAAGAAAGGGGAAACCAAAACCAGTCAGAGTCCCTAATCAGCTCAGGGCTTTGCATAATGATGCCGCAGCCAGAACCTCAAGATGGGATTTCAGAAATTGCCCAAGACTTGCAATGCCAGATTTGAGCAGTGACAATAAGTCTGTCATTGATTTTGTCTGGTACCCAAGGTCCTCAGCATTTGTAGATATTTTACCATGGATAATTGCAAAGTAGTCAACAAGCCCCAAGAACCAACCAAATTTTACAGGATCTGATCACTGGACATTTTATTGAACTAGGTGTAACTTTATTGACAGGAGAAGACAAATACTTGTGGAGGATGCTTGGACTTCTAGAGAATGGACTGTCGTCTAGTTCCTCATGTCATCATATGAAGTTGCTGCTTATACGACTGTACTGTCTCGCTGGTATGATTCCGTTGTGATCAAGGCTTTTATCAGTCATTTTATTGAAGGGTAATATTGAGGTCGAATCTCGTGGAAATGAACCTTAACTCTTCAAGATCATTCGAAATGCAGCTGGAGAGATATTTGAGGGGTGAGGAGGGCGCTGCGAATGTACTTTGTGTACTTTGTGAAAATTAAAGTGCGAAGAAAACGCTGCTGATTTCCTCTCAAAGTGGGGGACTTGGGCAGATTCAGGAAGGTCCTTGTAAAAAAAAATGCTTTAACCGAGGTCAGAGGTTTGATCATTCAGTGCCTTAGGGAAGATTGCACACAGTTGTGGAAATTAGAGCCCAGCTTTCATTCAATCGCACGGGGCAAGGTATTCCCTTGAAAACTAAAGCGTAAATCGGGATCAGACAGTGTGGATAATTCACATGAAGTTTCCTGAATTTTCCTCTGTACATTGTATTTAATTGATTGCTTATATGTGACCCGCTCTGTGAAAATGAGTCTTAAGTCGACAGAGCCACTTGGAGTAAAAAGTCCTTTAGAATAATTTTGTGCAGTGTAAATCAATAGGAACCCACAGCATTTGTCACCATGGAGTATCCACTTTCATCAAGATGCCAAACAGGGTGAAACATCAAAACAAAAAAACTCAAAATTTGCTCTTTCCAATACAAATGGAAACTCAAAAATGTCTCAGGCGACTTAAGACTCATTTTCACAAAGTGGGTCACATATTTGCTGTGTGGACAATGTTCTGGAACAACATTTTTCTGCAGCTCTGTGAGTTCTGGAACTCTCTGTGAACGTGTTTGCAAAGGGAGCACTTTGGAATGGTGCTACTACCTGAGGCATTCTTGAGTTTATGCTATTGCATGTGTTTTGTTGTTTTCCACAGGTGCCTTCGGTCCAATACCAGACCTTTATGATGGGCTGGACATTAAACACATTCAACAAGACACATTAGGGTAAGTTACTTATTGGTAAGCAGTTGTTGGAATCAAGTGCGAAGTGGTCTCTCAGAAGTAAGCATTATTGTAGCTGTAGCCACATTTTACAGACATGGCCTACTGTCAATATTGTGCACACAGTTGAACTTCTTACACTCCAGTGTACAAGAGGTAAGGAAGGGTGCATGGTACAGATGTGCTGGCTTGCACCTCTTTTTCTATGTGTGCAACCACTTTTCATCTGAATGAATACAAAGACCTTTGTACTTGCATTATGGGAATGCATTCGCAGAAATGATGCTTATGTGCTCATCCATATTTCTACACGCTAAAAACAATGCTTATGATAAAATGCCTTGCCCAGGGACGTAAACAGTCTGATCTTTAAAAGCAGAATTCATATTTTTTTCAAGTACTTACATTATCAATGTTGTGTTGTTAGCACGGTGTACAAACATTGTAACTTCTTAATGTTCCTTGATGTACACAACCAATTTTACTACACCCGCTTTCAAAGATAACAGCTCAAAGTTGATCAATTGCAACATGGCATCACAGCAAGTTCTTCCTTGAAGCCACATTTCAACCCTTCCCATCTGCCTTCACTAGGTACACAGTCTCAGGATACGTGACTAGCTTGGGTCATTTTACCTCAGCCACTGCCTTGTTCAACACAACTCTGAAATTCTTCAACTCAAACCACAAAGATGTAAGTGTCGCAGCATAGTAGTTTCAGGATTTTTCGGGCTATTTTTGGCCAGGTAGCAAACTGTATAAATCACGCAGCTATAGTTTCCACATTTGGTATGTCTTGGACAATTAAGAGCGATTGCTTTCGGCTGCAGAAAGTAACTAACCAAAATGCAGGTGATAGTGATAATGATCAAAAGTGGCTATTTGGCTTCAAAAGTTCCACAGAAAAGTTGTTAAAAATTCAGAGGTAATGCCAAAACATTTAAATTTTATTATCATGGATTTAGAGGCTGTTCTTCTTTTACTATGACAGTTGTTGGGTACCGTGTCCAGTGGCACGTGTCATCGGTAACATTTGTTCCAATGAATACTGTATGTTCCCATTTTTTATAGACCACTGAGTACATGATCACAGCGTACAAGTTTGGGACGTTCCACAAGATTCCAGAATTTCTGACATTTCGACAACGAATCAGCAACTCTCTCCATCGTACTCTGGTCACTGTGGAGAAACTTCTCCTGGAACTGCTAACGGAAGCAGAAATGTAAGAAAAATGCATCATTGCCCGCATGCCTGAGATAGGCTCCGGTTTGTTGCTGTTTCACTGCTCGAATTCTAATTTGGTACCAGGACATAATGTGACTCAGCCTCATTCAGTGTCCAAGAAGAATTCTTTAGAGTTCAAAAGAGAAGCATGTGGGTCATTCTATAAATTTGGGGTCCCATTTTTTCCCATCCTTTTTGCGTCTGGCATATGATTTTAATGTTTAGAACTCATGGTTTAATTTCCAAGACTGAACAAGTACTGCAAATTACCTGCCAAACAAATACAAATAGTTTGAAATCAATCAGGTAACAGGGACAGAAAATGTCACACTTTGGACGCCAATTTTATAGAATGACCCATATGTTAAACACCGTTTTTCTGGCGAACATTAAAATATCACAATATATGCCCTAAGAGAATGTCATGGTAGAGAAGAGTGATTGAAATCTCTGTCCAAAACCTTGCTCTCTCAGGGTCCTTTTGGGCCATTTTATAGCTAGATATGCCAATAACCTCCACGCAAAGGGCTTTGAAGGATGCATTACCTTACCAGCAAAAGACTCCAAATGGAGTAAATTGGAGGATGCCATTTGCCCATCAAAGGATTAGCCTGTGTTGCTGATCTCCACTGTAGTGGAGTCTCTGTGATAGAACTTGGGGCAGTTATGAAAGGGAAATATTGCAATAATTTGGAGGGTGTAACAGCAAGGTTGAATGCCAGAAGATTCTTTTTCTCTAGTTCTGGTTATTTATAATGGCAGTGTAATTGGTAAGGCAGGGTTCCAGCTGCCGTTCGCCATTCTCGCCAATTTGCAAATAATTAAAATTTTGGCTGTTATTCCATTGACCTGGCGAAAAAATTGGCGATTATTTTGCAAATTTAGACAAAACTTACCACTTGGTCATCACCGAAATGTCACAGTGGTATAAATAATACTAATAACATTAATACTGTTAATTTCCAACTTTCACGAACAGTGCCCATTCACAGTCGCTGTCGCAGTGGTGAAAACACATGTGCAAAACTCACTGCCTCAAACAAAGCTGCTGCTCTGGTTCCCTACGCTCCACACACATGCAAAAAAATGCGTGATGGAAATGAAGCAACCAGAACCAGTCTATACATGTGTTGTACATTCCGGTCAATTAATTACTCTACATCAGGGGTACACGCATATCGCATGCAACCCTAAAGCTGCAGGTCAAAAAAAGCTTCGATATCGCAAGAGGTATCCTGCAAGTTAATTCACAGAACTTGGTCTCTTATTTATGTACCGGTATGTATTTTCTGTGTTCATGAGTTTTATTTGAGGTCGTTTTACTCGTACTTGAAGCAAGCATGTTTTGACAAATTTCCTGCCGCGGCACAAGGTTTATCACCCGCTAGTCTGGATGCATGACACATGCTTACCAAGCGACACAAGGACATTGTTGGCCAGTTTGCCGTCGTGATTGCCTGAGTAGCATTGTGTGAATCGTCCGTAATTCTTGTGAATTGTTGATTGTATAGATTTTTACATAGATTAAGACAGGTGTTCATCACTTTTTGAGATAATTTTGGAAGCTGTCATCCCCATTTGTGCCTTTCAAACAGCACAATAAATTGCCCCCCAAACAAAACAATTTTCAGACCTACCGACCGAACCGATTGTTTAATCGGAAGCACAACTATTTTTATGGCCAAATAAAAGACCGCTTACATGCAGAAGGCCTTAGTTAAATAACCATAATAATCGTGGATTCCAAGAAATCTTGGGCAAGTGTTTATCCAATTCAGATAAGCAAATTTATGGCATGGCCTGCCCGACCAAGCAAAAAAAAAAAAGTTGTTGAGGTCCCAGTCTGGTTGAGCGTAGGCCCATGAACAGGTATGCATGGGCCTACGCTCAACCAGACTGGGACCTGGCACATGCACGAAGAAATCAGACCATATTAAGATGTGAAGTCAGAAACAAAGCTTTATCTCTGTGCTGTCCTGAATGGATAATTTGACATGTTTGAATATTGTGGTTTGTCCAGAGCGGGGAACACTCTGAGAGATTTCGTTGTCGACATGGATATCCATCCTGAAAAAGGTGAGTTGAAGAAACAATTTCGGTTTGGGGATTGACTAATTTACATTTGCTATCACCTCCTCAACTGTGTAAAAAAGACTACAGATTGCTCTGATATTGTTAATCAACCAAATACTTGCTAGTCACTGGTGTGATGGTGTATTGGTCTCCAGTTTCTATTGTCTTTATTCAATTCAAGTTTTCTTTATTCACTCACCAACTTGAATAATTCCCCTTGCCAGTGTTTCTTGTCACTCTCTCTTTGTGGCAATTACTCAGTCACTTTATGATCCTTTTCCAATATTCTCTAGGGCCATGCGTGTTGCTTAGTTTCAGCAGTTTGCTCTCTTCCTGTTTTGCACAGACAATACCAAATGGGAAGAAATCTCAGACAACAGAGATCTTGATATCATGGTGTCTTGGGCCCCAGAACACAGGTAAGGTATAACTTCTGCTGTTGATTTGTTTAACATACCGTACATGTACAAAATTAGCTAATTTGCTGTTTGGCTCTCCCGAATTTAACAAAATGTCATGATTTGCTTCACCAAATAAACTACCATGGAAAACTGTACAGATTCAGTCATTAACAATAGATGGTCAGAATGAAGAAAAGCAAGGAATGTGATTCCTCAACCTGTGGAACACCACACTAGTGGCTATGGCTAGCTCCTGACTGAAAAATGCTCAGACAGGAGCCATCATAGAGGTGGATAGCTCAGTCAGTAGGTCCCCAAGGCTCTGGAGTTTGTGAATTCAATTCTGCTGCGGTCAATTTCTTTGTTCAACCAAATATTTTAATTTTTTCCTTCTTTTTCGTTCTCTCTCAAAAGGCAACTTTCTGAGGAGGATCGACGAGCGTCCTCGCAGCAGGAGAAATCCTGGCTAAAAGTGAGGCAGTTGACATTGCGGTCCCTGGCCGCTGCCACCTATCTCACACCAAACTCACCCTCAACACCTGACAGCACCCCCACAAATAATGGGGAAGGACCCAGCTATGAGAAGGTGCTGGCTGCATTAACAGACGAGTTGGACAGGCACTTGGTTGAAGTGGCAGAAGATCCCACTACGCATAGAAAAGTGAGAACTTCTAGGAAGATGACAAAGTACATTTTTTAAGGGTTGAAAACAAGGTATAAACAATAAGCGGTATCAACTTTGCCCCCGAGATCCTTCTGAAGTTTTGGAGGATTTTGCAGAATTGAGGAAGATGGAGTCCAACCAACATCACATTATACAGGATTTGATGCCCTTTAAAAATTAGAACCCGAAAGTGGGTTGAGACATATTTTTCCTGTGTGGTCGCAGTGCATTTTTGTCATGCCGAACCTTCAGAAGTTTTCCATTAATGTCTTACAATCATTTTGACACTGATTTTATGTAAATCTGGGATACTTTTCTGGCAAAATGCCCATTTTTGTGTGAAAGGCCAGACAACAATGTCAACTTGCCCATGGATGTTATCAATGCATGTCAGACGGTGTTGAAATTTCACAGATGGACTGCTGTGGATGCTTTCACATGCTTGCCAAGTTTGAAAAACATTCTGGCACAGGACACCAGACTTTCTCGCGGGGAGTATATTTCAAAAGGGCACCCCTCTGAATTATGAGCTCCACATCAGTTTCTATGTCCTGACTGGTTCGTACACTGGTCTTGTTTTTTTATGTGATCCAAAGAAAGTCATTTAATCTTTTTCGGCCATTTTTCTTCCCCAGTTTCCTATTCAAGGGCCGCCATGCACGCGGATGGTAAACTACCTCAAGGGGAATTGTGGGAAGATTTTCCTAATGGCACTGAGGGTAACGCTGAGCATACGTGAGCTCTCCATGCAGCAAGACGGTAAGGCCTCAGTGAGACCTCATTCATTGTGAGGATTTTCAGGTAAAATGTTGGCCATTGTTGTCTAGTTAAAATATGTACAGCTTTGCTGTAAGTTTTGCTGTAATCCTGAGCTTGAGGCAGGAAAAAAATTGCCTTCAGCATGGAATTAAAATTGTAAGTTTCTGCCAAAATGTGCACTTAGCTGAACCTTTGGCTTCCGTTTAAAAGTTGCCAGATGAAGCCCTGCTTCTCTGAATTATGAACAAAAAAGTGGCTTTCATGTTCTTAGCAGTTTGTAGCAGTGTTGTAGTGGATTCCATCACAAGTCCTCACTGGTTCAAGTCAAGTCCTCACTTGTCATCCAGTCTGAAGTCAATTCACAAGCTGTTCAGAGTAAACGATGATTAACCACTTTGTGCCATGCCCGTTTATCCATGTTGATTCTACTGGGCCGTGTAATTTTTCATTTTTTTCTGTTTTCAAAACTGTAAAAATTAATAACTTCATTTACTGGACGTTTACCCCCACAACAATGACTGTCTGGTGGCTACTCTAATCTGACAGACAACATCTATTGACACCTGAGTGTTTCAGCCAGGCCTGCTGCCTTGTAAAAAGAGCCCAGTGTTATGTAATTTCCTTTTGCTCCCGAAACCGACACATTGCACTGCTGACGTCTTTTTAATAGGGGCCATATTAGCATGCAGCGGTGTTGTACCTGTATCGCTCACCACTGGAGCACTTTTGTCCCTGGTGGTAATCCACAAACAGTGAATGCCACAAACAGTGGTATAATCTTTCAAAACAATGATGGATTTCCTCCACTATTGACGACTGAAAAAATGTTTGAAATTCCCAGCAGCTCGGTCTTTTGTTCCGAGTATGGTCTTTTGTTACAAGGCCCAGCTCTTTTGTCTGATTTCAGGCACCCCGGCAATGTGTATAAAGCCAACGTCTCCGAAATCAGGCTCCCCGGCAGCAAGTGGTTAAGGCACTTTGTTGTCATTGTTTATCCGCCATTACGTTTGACCAAACTTGTGATGTTAGTTTGATAAACGTGACCACAACTCTGAATTCTAGATATTTGAGCACCTCATTTTCAAATTTGTTATTCCCGTTTAGTAGTTTTTACAGTTTTTTACGTTGTTTTTTATAGTTTACCTCCATGACCCAAATTCTTTTGGTATACTAGGCCCAAATTTATGGCAGTGTTTAACAATTAGTGGAAAAGTTACACTAGAAAATTTTGCTAACCTCAACCACTTGCTGTCAGGGTTTCCGCTACCAGACTCCTCGGGTTTATATGCAAAGCCAGGCTGCCCGAAATTGGACAAAAGAACTGGGCCTTGTAACAAAGACCGTACTCAGAACAAAAGACTGAGCTGCTAGGAATTGCCAAAAATTTTTCACTGTCAATAGTGGAGAAAATCCAGCATTTTTTTTTAAACAGTATACCAGGGATTGGGGCATTCAGTGCGAATGGATTACCATCTGGGACAAAAGCGCTTCAGCACTTCAGGGATGAGTGATACAACACTGCTCCATGCTAATCTGGTCAGCATTTGAAAAGATGCCAGCAGCGCACTGGGCCAGTTTCGGGAGCAAAAGAAAATTACATAACACCGCACAATCTGGGCGCTCTTAACAAGGCAGCATGCCAGGCTATTGAAAAATACTCGGGCATCAGTACATGTTGTCTGTCAGATTAGAGTTGCCACCAGACAGTCATTTGTGTGTATTGTGTGGGTGTAAACGTCCAGTAAATGAAGTTATGAATTTTTTAAGAATTTTGAAAACAGAAAATCTTGAAAATCCCCCGGGAATACGTCATGCAACTTTAAATTAAACCCGGCAGCATATGGTTAAGCACTATTCAATAGGGTGGATTGTGTTAATAGTTGTATGGAGATTTGCATTGTTCTATTAAGAAAATTTGTCCCCCGACGTAAGCATGTCTTTTGCTTTGCTTACTGCATATGGTCCCAATGACATTTGGATCTGTCCACAGTAAAAGACACACTTGCGAGACATGCAGTACAAGTTTCCAACTATAAAATTTTGCCATTATTTTGCTTGTATGTCTTCACTGTTTCTGATTGTTGCCATAGAAAAGGTAAAGATAAATTGAGCAATATTTGAGAAATTACAAAAGTTTATAACATTCGTCACATGGACAGACACTTTGTTTCTTAAGTATGAAAATTAAATTCAAAACGCAATTGAAAGTTACCCGCAATGTTTCAAGTTCTCTTTTTAGTTTACTTTTGGAAACTTTAATTATCATATAAAAACAATTCCAGTGTAGAAAACACTGAAATTTTTTTTCAAGAAAAAATGTAGCGGGTCAATGTCATGGAGCTTCTCACACACAAAATATTTGCTCAGCAAAAGTAGGCTACCAGCCAAAGTACCCTGCATCGTACATGTATTCGTGTGTGTCTCTTGTGAGCCGTTACCAGCTGATTAGCTGCTCAGCATGAAAATTGACTGAGCAGAATTCTCTACTTGTTAGGTCAGTAAAATTAGGCTTGGGATTTCGAACCCAAAAGTGTTTAGCTTGAAACCCCAAATTTACACGTACCAGGCGCAAACTACATGTAGAAGGGGTTGGGCTGAGATTTAAAAATTTAAAGATTAGAGTGTTATAATGCATAAAAGTCACCCCATAGACGAGATGTATAAAGTCAAGCATGAAGTCAAGCCTTTGGAATGTTTTATTCTCAGATAACGCAGAGTTGCAGAGTACAATAGAACAAGCCTTCACCAGCATCACCGACAAATTTTCAGGTAACCAATTTTTTTTTGTTTTCAAATAAGGTTGAAACCTTAAGGTTGAAACCTTGCTCCAAATATGAAGTTACGCTCAAAATAAAATGGCATAATCGGGCTGTGGTTTTTCCATAAAGCAATTTTATAGTATGAAGGAGAACACCGCAGAAAAGTCCAGTACCAGTCTATGCTCTTGGTAGAAAGAGGCAAGGGGGGAGTCACTGACTTGACCAAAGATGCACGGCCTTGCCTGCAACTGGATTCTAACCCATGACACTTATATTACAAGTCAAGAACCCCACCTACCAAGTGTATTTGTACACGAGAGGAATTTGAATTCTTTGTTGTAAAACTGTTGCCTATTTCCAGTTTTGGGACAGTAATTGTGTGAAGCTTATATTCTCAAATGCAGCCGTATGATTTTGCAACCTGTGATTTATCAAGATTGTTGTTTTGATTGTTTCTTTGGACAGAATCTTTAAGGAGAAGTAGGCGGTGCTTAATCCGAGAAGATGGAGAGTCAAGACATTTTGACAGACAGGTTCTTCCAGAGTTGGCCTTACTTGTTGAGGTACATTTTTTTGCAAGTTCTTCCCAGAGATGTGAGGAAAGTGAGCAACCTAACAAGGGACTCAAACATGAAGCCCCTCCCATAAAATGTTTTGACCAGTGACAGCCCGCGATTGCACCACCAAATGTCCGGTAGACATCCAGTATGCAAGCACTTTTGTGGTGACATGTACAGTGAGAACATGCAGTGTGGGTCCACATGTCCGTTGGCAGGGCTTAAGGGATCATTGTTCTACTGGACATAAATCTGCTGTTTTTGAGCAAGAGGAGGTGCTTGGCTCATTTGCAACTTTTCTCCTCCTATCCACAGACACTGGCTTTTGTCATATTACTTGCCGGAGTCAAGTTCCGGCTTCTCAAACCCATGAAGGCAGCAGCCCTGAGGAAGAGCAGAAAAAAGAAAGGCGGAGCCACAGCGAAGGTAAAGAAAACATCAACCACTGAGCGAGCACATCGCTAATTTGCCCAACTTTGAGTGGTTGGTGAAGAGAAAACCGTCAGCCAGTCACTGAATTTCAATCTTGTAGTTAGCGGGTTGGGATCACTTTGGGCACTGTTGTGTTAATCGGTACTGCCCTAGAATAAGAGATGGTCCTTTGGAGAGAATTTACAGCATGCGTGCGCAAGTTTGATGCGGGATACACTGAGCATGCACAACCACACAGCCACAAAAATTCAAAGATTTCTCTTCCTGGGTTTGTGTACCAGACACGAAATTTATTTCTGGTGAATGTTTACATCAGCCCTGTCGCCATACAGAGCTTGCATTGCAGGCCAAAATGTTCCGTTGTTTTTCCCTTTGAGGCCTGTCTGGTGTCAATTTTTTGCTGTAAATACACCCTCTCTGAAATGGAGTTTCAGTCTTTAAGAAAAGTAGCAGCATATTTCCATGGATAGTTACAAATCTCACATAAAAGCTTAGGAAAGAAGTAACTATAAACTCTAAAAGAGCCTGTGTGTTTTTAAACCCTGTCCTGCTTGGGAGTCTTCCAAAACTCACCTGTCGCATGGCCAGTGTTGTTGAAATGCTGCATACATTTATAAAAGACATCCATCGCCAAAGCTAACATTGTATCTAACCTGTTTTTAAAGCAGGCTTTTCACAAGAAGTAATGTGTACGAGTTTCATAACATCGGTGCCTAACCATAAGATATCACAGTTTTAAAAAAATGTATTGCAGTGATATTGGAGAATTTACATGGGGACGGAATCTACCGTCCTGTGCTCTTTGAGGTTGAAACACACTTCTAATTGAAATTTTGAAGGTATGTCTTCTTGTCCAGTTGCAGATGCCGATTTTCCAGCATTTCAAGGATTACACCGAGAATGTGCAACAGCTGGCCAACGGTTTGACGGCAGCAGTGCAGGACATTGACCCAACGATGCTGTCGCTCGACCTTGGGAAACTCAAACTGTCTGAGTCCAGCCTAGAGGTAAATTCAAGAGATCTTATCTGATTCTGTAAGTAGGTGCCTTTATTGTGGATTTGTGTCTGGCGAAAACCAATGTTGTAGTACTCGTACTCGGTACTCATACTTGAATACTACTCGAGTACCATTTTCAGAGCACTCGTTTCTTACTTGCACTGGAATTTTATACTTGAACAACAGTTCTTGTACTTGGGCTGCAAATACTCGGGAATAAAATAGTACTCAAGCATCGAGGTACTCGTACTCGATTAACATGTACTTAATAAAAAATCCTTTAAATCCTGTTATGGCCATTGAAATACAACGGTACAAGAAAATCGATCCTCGCAGGCTGATATTCGGTAAGGTCTGACAAAGACAAGGCTTACACATTTGCCGTCTTAGCCAATTACGAACGCAAAACGCCGGTGTATTCCTGGTCTTGGTTCCAAGACCATCCTGTTTATTTCACGACACAAACCATCACCAGACTTAACGGCCGGAAGGGGCAATGCCACTGTGTATCGCCTTGTAAAGTGCATGTACACTGCACACTGAATGCAATAACAGATCGCAGCACCGCGAAAGGCATCTTGGGTCCAAGACTAGTAACACTCAATTTAGTTGTAGGTAGTCTGGTTCCTGGACCTGATATAGAATCTAGAATATAGAAAAACATGGGCATAGGTATATTAAGTCTGGCAGCAGACTTCACCCTTCAATGTTTAAGCATTCCCGTTGTGCGTGCATAAGACATCACAAGTCTGAGTCCCACTGGTACTTGTACATTGTACATGTCCACGTGTAAGCACAGATTACCAATCACAACTCCATTGTGATGTATGTTGTTTCGGAATGTTCTTTATGTGGATTTTGGCTGGGATGACAATCACACAGGGTTTTTATCTGGTACCCTTTGGTTTTTGAGCAAGGGTTTTTGCTACATTTGCAAATTTTATACTTAAGCAGCTCTGTGAAATTGGTCCATGCATCAATGCCATTTGCTTATTCTTGATGCTTTTACTTTTGAGTCAATTAACCACTTCCTGCCGGGCGACCTGTTTTCGAGTACATAGGCTTTATATGCAGAGCCGGGGAGCCCGGAACTGGGACAAAAGAGTTGGGCCTTGTAACAAAAGACCGTGCTGAGCACAAAAGACTGAGCTGCTAGGCATTACCGACGTTTTTTCGCTGTCAAAAGTGGAGATAATCCAGCCTTGTTTCGAAACAGTATACCACGGTTTGAGGCATTTTGAGCGAGCGGATTACCCCTGGGGACAAAAGCTCTCCACCACCGCAGCGATGAGCCACACAGCACCGCTGCACGCTTATCTGGCCCCTATTAAAAGAGGTGAGCAGTGCACTGTGCCGGTTTCAGGAACAAAAGAATCTTACGTAACACTGCACAATCTGGGCTCTCTTTCCACGGCTGCAGGCCTGACTGAAATATTCAGGAGTCAATGCAGGTTACCTGTCAGCTTTAGAGTAGTTGCCAGAGAGTCCTTCATGTGGGTATAAATGGCCATTAAATGAAATGATGAATTTTTGAAGAATTTTGAAAACGGAAAATCTTGAAAAGGACCCGGCATCTTGTGTTGCTCACAACTGATGATCCTTCTCTTGCCATATAAATGTTGTACCTCAGTTTTTTGCCAAGGAGACTAAAATACATGTACACAGGTTTAGGACTAAATATAATCTGCAACTTTACCTGAACGTACTGGTTTTGGAATGCTATGGCAGATTTTAATAAAAGAATCAGTTGCAAAAACGTTTGTAGATCCATTGTTCATACTCATTTAAACTATTTTGAAAGACATATTTGACTATTTAACGTACCCAGACTTAAGTGCTCTGACTTGTACTCGTAATTAGAAGTACTCATACGTACAAGTACTCGTACTCAGAGGTAGGAGTACTCATACTCAGAGGTACAAGTACTCATACTCAGAGTTACAAGTACTCGTACTCAGAGGTGCAAGTACTCGTACTCAGAGGTACAAGTACTCGTACTCAGAGGTACAAGTACTCGTACTCAGAGGTACAAGTACTCATGCTCGGAGGTACATGTAGTCATACTTGAAAACCAGTTCTTATACTCGGCTGGTAAAGTACTCAGATTTTCAGGTACTCAGAAATTTAAGTACTCTGCATTATTCTGTACTCTGAAAAAGTACTCAACTACAACACTGGCTAAAGCTATAGTTACACTTTTGTTACTGGGAACATCATAAAAAAAACCAAGTATTGAACAAAATAAAAGCACTTTTTGTTCTTTTTGGCAGTGTGCAAAAATGATGGGCTTCTGTAAAGCAATGCATAATTTCCTTTCTGGAATATCTTGAAATGTACCAAAATATTGTGTTGAAACATGAACAAAAAGGCATTGAGACATCATGAAACATTGTATTGAAACTGTCAGTAACTAAAAGTTCAGAAGAATGTGTCATTTTCAATCTTTCAACAATCCTCTATAAAAGTGAATGTCCTAAAAAAAATTGATCTTCACCCAAATGGTTCTGCTGTGGCTTGAACAGACTCCCACGTGTACGTGATGTTCAATATGTTCTTGCTCATAAGATGCAGATTTCTCCTTTCTCTGTCACGGATGCAGAACCAAGAGACCTCTTTAGCCAGAGCCGAGAGCACCGTCTGGAAGCGCATCGAGAAGAGCTACCACGAGAGTTCCAAGGAAATCCTTGAGGTGCTGAAGGGCAAGAGAGACTTCCTGGCCACGTTGAAACTTTGACGGCTGGGGCCTGCTCGGCCCGTGGATCATGTGCATTGAACTTCTATCAAATAGAGCATTAGTTCATGCGAGCCAGTACCTGTAAACGATTTAATTTACTCAATATTTTTTTGTTTTGAAGGCTGCAAACACCCGTGTCTTTTTGTGGGATATATTAATTGAGGATTTTTATTTCACCAACTTTTTTTTGGTATGTAAGCTTGCTGTTTACTGAGGCCATTTTAGAATGCTCAATAGGCTTACCTGGGTGTAATTTAAACCTACGATCTACTACAAGCACAGGCATTGCAGTTTCACTTCGGTTACCGAGCCTTGAAGTAAATTGTGGACATTGTTTGCCCCCCTATTGGCTTTGTGCATGAACCACAGAGGGTTCATCCTTACTATTGGCATTTTTATTGGGATTTCTGATTTCCACCACTAGTGGACTCCCCGCACAATACCTCCTCAACAGTGATGAAGAGAGATGCGGCCAAACACTTCAACCAAATTGCCACTGTGTACCCATAGGCCAGCACTCGCTTCATGCATCTGGTTTATGAATTTTCAGATGAAAATTTGTTGTGTGTACTCTACTTCCCAATTTGCAAAAGCCTATGGAGCTCGTGTGAGTGGTCACAGGTTGCCATCCATTGTTCCTGCAAAGGGGCCATAACTTGCAACGTCATGAAATGTGTGATGTGGACCCAAGTTGGCCCAGTGTTATAGGGCAGCTTTAAGGCAAATTTCAGTGACGACCATTTGATTACCACTTGGCGATTTTGCGTGGTACCCTGAATACATTTTGTACACAGGTTACCAGGGAAAGTCAACGAGTGGTTGACAAATGGCCATTGCTTGAACTTGCCTTCAACAGTAAATACTGCTTAGCAAATTGATGTGTGGAGAAAAATATCAGCAGGGCAAAAGTCGCGAGTAGTGTACAATGCACGGCATTTGAGCTGGTAACCTTCAACTATTCGAATATTTTCCGTGCTTAGGCCGTGTCCGAGTTGTTTGACTGTGGCTTAATATTGTACAGGAGTCTATGCTGGTGACCACAGCCAGTTACATAGAGTGTTGTAAAATGTCAAGCCATAGCAGAGAGATTCAGACAGGACCTTAGTACCTGTATGAAGCAGGTAACTAGCCTGGTGCCCTCACCCATTGTATCCCTTTGAGTTTCCAGCTTATGTATCTGTTCAGCAGCCATATCCGTTGCCTTGAGCCCGTTGGTGAGGCTTTAATGTTTGACAATGAAAGCAAATATAGCTGTGATTACAGTGTAGCTGATATGAGCAATATAAGAAGTCCCTGTTTCCTAGCATACAGATTGTGGTAAATAGCACTTAGTATAAACACTCCTCTGCCACGTAGTGACTGATGCTGGATAACTTCATTCCATTGTTGGCATAAATCTATTTTCAAAATCACCGCTTTGGAAGACTATCTTCCTCTTTGGCTGCGTAGAGCTTGATACACACATTATTTTCCATGCACGAGCACCACCCTTGGCAGTGTAGCAGTATACATGCACATTTGATATCCTGAATAAAAGTTGCTGGAAAGAAAACGGGAAATCGTATCAGCACTCAAAAGATCAGTTACTCTAGAATTTCATGCTCTATCATGTCTATTATATTTTGTATTTATTTTTCCAAAGTAATGGTTCACTACGTTCACTGTGGTGTTATATACTTAGACCTTTAAAACAAGGGATTAAAATTTAAACAAAGATTAATTGGTCCCAAAAATATTTCACTGTTAAATTGCAAATCAATAAAGTTGCGTCCAGTTTGAGTTTGAAGTCCGAAGCACAGCTGGAGGAAAGAAATGAAAACTGGAAAACAGTTTGTGACCTTCATTTGTTTCTGTGAGCGAGAAAAAAGGAAAAATTGGCTTGCTGGAAATAGTTTGAATGAGATCTGATCAAAGTGTGATGATCGCAGTTGGTGGTGGTTGATGTCAAAGAAACCGTAGGTAACACGCTGCTGCAGATTTGTGGGTTTTACAGATGTACCTCAGTTACTTCGAGACGTCACACTCTGTTCTCAGTTAGAACGGAAGTATAGAAAACTTTCACAAAGTTTTGCAGGACATTCTGCATGGACTCCTTTTATGGCAGAAAGCAACGTGGTTGATTTTGCTCAGAGCAGCTGTCACAGAGCTCAGTACAATAGTCATCACTGTGCTTACCACCATTGATGAGGGCCACTGTAAATGATCAGTGAGGGCGTGACCATGGTCACAAGATTCATCTAGACATTCATCTGTTGTCCAAATCAACCTTTTACACTTGCACCCTCCTTTTTCTGATCTGGAAAATTGCCTCATCGTGCTTTGTAATTTCCCAAAAGACCATGTTCAGGTAATTTGTGCAGCATGCTTCAAATGTGAGAGTTTTTGTTGATGCAAGCCACATCTGCCCTTTGCATACTAGTTTTAAAGCAAGACGTTGTTTTGAAGTGGAAATAAGTTGGCTTTTTGAAGAGTAATTGAATACTTTTCTACCTGAAATTAACAAATAAAGAAAAAAAAACAAACAAAACAGACCTTTAAAGTGCTTGTTTGTGTCTGTTCATTTTTCCTGGGAAATCAAAAAATGCATCATTTCTAATTTAATTTTTAAAAAGTTGGAAACGTTTGAAAAATATATAACCCCTTGAAACAGAAGCAGGGATCACTGATTTTTGTTTATTACCATAATTGGCACAAAGGCTTTCATTTGGTTACCATATAAAGTTCTACATCAAGTATATTTCTATTTTGCTCACGATATCTTTTAGAAATTATATCTTCCAAACCCCAAGTTTTTCTGTTCTGTCGCCCCACTAAATTTGAAACTAAAAGTTTGAATTTCATTTAAATCCATTTTTATTTTGACTTTGCCTCTGTCGGCGTCCCAAGCTTGATTTTCAAATCTCGGCCAATTTGCCACTCTCAGTTCCTCGTCTACTTGCACTGCTGGGACACTGCAGGGGGGCCAATAGGTTGGTTTTTTTTTCAACAGTTATTTCCTTGATAGTGTTTTATGCTCTTAACACTTGAGCACTCCCAAACCTCTTGAGTGTATGGAGTAGCATGCAGGCTGTAACTGGACTCAATGTAAAGAATGGTAAATGTGTTTAGGAAAGGAACTTTTAGTTCATCTGTTTTAATGTAAATGGTTTTAGAAATGAGTGAAAAAAATGAGTACAAGTTATCCAACAGCTTCACTCCAAGTTAATCAGAGTACATGTACATGGGCTGATCCACATGAAGCACAGGTCTTTTAGTGTTCAAATGATGACGGCAAATCACAACCATCTGGGAAGCACTATTAAACAGGACTGGTCCTCTATGTTGTGGGTTATGCCACCGGAATTTCAGAGTAACATGTCCGAGGACTTCAGACCGAGGACCATCATTCCTGCAGTCAGCAGGCTTCGGTCTGAATGTTCACTAGTGCCCGCTGGTGCCATGTTCCCGATGCAGAGCTGATCTTTGACACCTACTCATTAGGAAGACAATTTCCATTGCAACCACTGTTACAGCTGGGTTGTGTACGGCAAACATCAATAAAGTTTCAATTCCCCTGTCACTTCGTCTACTAACGAGGCCGGTCCTGGGGGCAGAATAAAACGAGGACAATAACTGTCATTTTGTCTATTTACACTACAGCTCAACTCGTCACATTTTGTGGCGACCACAGATTTTGCCTAAGTTGGGCTGTGTGGATGGAACACTGGAACAGCAGTCCAGATCTGCCGGGTTCACTTCCTGATTCATTCAAGAAATCAAAGAAACTACCACCAAAAGGTCATACAAACTGTCGATATTCTACGTCAGTTGGAAAAAACTTGACAAGTGGATTACATGTACATCTGGATTACATCGGTGTTCTACCAACTAAGTCAGAATCTTTCATACATATGTCGTGGTCAGGATCATAGCTTAAGTTGTAATCTGACAACATCAGTAGTACTGAACACCCAACAAACAACGATTTCTATGAAAGTTTGTTGACTGTGTATTTAATGTATTTTCTTCAAGAATAAGGCAAAAATGCCAACTCTGCCTTAGTGGGAAGATTCTGAATGCCCTTGCTGGTTTTGTTCCTACCTGGTCCAACACCTAGTACTGTCCTAGATCCTGGGGCAATTTGTGTCCTGCCTGCGTCTTGTATGACTGCTGTGGTCAGGCCTAAACTGCGGGCTTTCAAGGCAAGTTCAATCCTGAAAAGCAAACATGAGCATTGGATGAGGACAACCCTGTGGACGGCGAACAATAAGGCAAGCAATTTAAATCATAAAAATAAAAAGAAACAAAGCAGTTGATACTTAAACGGCGTAACCGTTTTGCAAAAGGAGGCTTACAATACTTCCTCATCTGGTGCCTTGACTACCACTTTGGGCTGTCCATAGTTCTCCCACTCCTTCAGCATATCGGGTTGGCGCCTCGCTGCCTGCTTGTAGCAGGACACGGCAGCATGGCTGCACTAATGGCAAATAAGAGAAACATAAATTAAAAATCAAACTTCTCGACAGCAAATGGACAGAGAAAATGCATCATCACCAGCATGATGCAAAGTATTTTTATGTAAATTGGGAACACACAGCGATGAAAGTATGAATTTCAGATCAGCAGAAGAGGAATTCTCAATCGAGTCTGTTCTTTTCACATCACAGTTATGTTTTTCCTAAAAGTAACTGCTAAAACTATGGCTGGCCATCTGTACAAAATTCAAACTATGAATCTCTTGGTGTTAAAAATCTCACCCAGCTATCAGAACACCAGATAATTATCACCTACTCTAACGTGCTAATTGAAAATATAACCCTATTCAAAATGAAAGGGGCAGATGTCCATTTTGAATGAATTTGTGAGGTAACATGGATAACCAACCAAAAGGCAATATTTCGGCAAACTCTGGTCACCCCTACAAGTTGTAGGCAAAATGAGAGTGGTCTATAGGATATTTTCTGGAAAGATGAGGCTTTGGAGTTTCCAAGTTTTAGTCAGTCTCAGTTCTGACTATATGACTCGTTTCATTGTGACTCAGTTGGCACTCACCTGTGCAGCAACTTTTCCTTTACCCATTTTCAAATCCGTCCTGACAACCAGAACCAATTTATATTCACCCGTCTCCCCCATGACGCTAACCTTCATCAGAGTAAATAAATAACAGACAAACAGACGATGACTGATTAAAAATGAGTTTGGAAAAAACGGGCAAAAAAACCATGACAACTGCATGTTAACAAAAAAGGAAGATGGATACCACACATCCTCACAAACTGTAACAGTAACAAGAAAAGGTGCAGTAATTCAACGAGAATGAGTCAGTCTGATATTCCAACAGTGCATGCCCAAAATGAGGCGCGTCCACGGTCATTCGGACACGTGTGAGAAGTCTGCCCTATTACTACGGCCCTGCATGGACTTGCACGTACGCTTTGTTCCTGAATGACTTTGCTTTTTGGAACTAATGACCTAGCTCATTTAGTTGAAATAATTGCAAAACAGCTCGGCAGTGAAGGGGTTGTGGACACTGGCTGTAAGTTTTCTTGCCCCCTCCATTTTACGAGGGTGTAGGGGTCCTTTCTTCAGAATTTCGAGAATCAGACCTGGTATTGTAACAGCACTGTAACTGAGGCTGGATTGGAAAGTCTTGAAAGCGGCCGGCAGTTTCATGTACATCTACAACAAGTGACTGCAGCTAGCGGATTCTGGGGAGGTTGTGTTTATTTGCGGCACTGGCAAAAACATCTGACGCAGCCTAACAACTGTATTTGTCATTCTGCATCACTACCACAGTTTTTAGCTAGAGATTAATAAGGGGTGTCTGAACATCTCTGACCAAAACGGTCGCATTTGAACCTAAAAAATGATGATATGCGACCAAACTGTTTAATTCTTATCGCCAATGGCAACCATGATTTGTGCCTGTTAGTCGCCCAAGTTGTCAGTCATATTTCAAAAACGATCGCAGCCCAGTATTCTTCTCCATGCACCGAGTGATGTGTCTCTGATCATGCGTTTTTTCCACCGTCTTACTATGTACACAGCATGAGTCCACGTTAAACTGCAACGTACGTGTAGCTTGCATGCAGGTATAACACGCATGTACAGGTGCTGGTTTGTGGTGGTCACGTGCTGTATAGAGTGTGTTTGGGGAGCTAAGACATTTCGCATATTCATTAGATGCACTAGCAGTCTATGCACACCACAATTACAGTGCAGCAAACTTGTTTCAGTCCCAAATGTTATTTGAAACCAAAAGGTTTCAAGCTTCCCTTGGTCCAGTCTGGTCCCAGGTACGAAATGGTCAAGAGTAAAGAACAAACATGCCTTGTCTTTTCTTTCAGCTTTTTTTTCATATAATCGGTTGCCATTTTTTATTTAGTCCACAAGCACAAAATCCAAAGCCTGTCTATCCTGCGGATAATTGACAGAATAATGTTTCTATGTGTTTTGTCAGATTTTGTACAGGTAACTTGTGTATTTTGACAAATTGGGTACAGTATGTACAAAAATCTACCTGGAGCCTAACTTTAATTTCTAGCAGCCACTGGCTCCTTATTTTCCCTTTCTCTGTAGAGTAGTGGCTGTTATTTTAAGGCAAATGTGGATACCCCATTTTCAAATGCTGGCTAAAACCAGAGAGGAACAACTCTTCTCATGTTTTGACCAAGTTTAGAGGTGTGGGGCAGGGCGGGTCATGAGACAGAAGATAGGGGTAGGGCATTGCATCGCCCCTCTGGATCCAGACTGTCCTTCCTTACATTATCACCCGACGCTGCTGTCTCAGCTGCCTGTTGGTCCTGCAGCATGACTTGCCGGCCATATTTGCCTTTCAGCAACCAGCCGAGCAAGACACCGGCCCCCATGCTCATGATGAGGTTAAAGGTCATCGGACTCATCAAGTCTTCAAACTTCACCATTTTCACTTCAACGGATGCAACTTCTGTTCAATCTGAAGAGGGACAACATTGTGAAATTCAACTACAAAACAGTACAATTACAGGACAATACAGCCTTTTCACAATAGTGCGCCAAGAGTTTGCAACGCGTTGGCCAATCACAATGCGCGGAATTTGTCGACACATTGCGCGTTTGGAAAGGTTTGACAAATTTCGCGCGTTATGATTGGCCAATGTGTTGCAAACTCTTGGTGGGGCACTATTGTGAATCTCTCATATTAACAGTATAATAGTACAATAGGCCCAAAAGGGAAGAGGTCCATATGCGAATACCAGTAATTATTCCTTACAGTGACCTATTAACTGTCAGTGCTCTTTCCGGCCCAAAAAATAACAGCTGTTACTAGTGAATTATTGTTGCAAGTCACTTCTTATTTTTCAAATAGTTGACCTTATTACATGTAATTAAATATGACCTAAAAACAACTTCTCCTCAGACGAGTCAGTTTTATCTCAAGAATGGACTGGATTTCGAGTGAGAATACAACTTCCAAAACACGTTGAGGTAGAATAAGTTGTGTGGAAACGAGTGAGTGGTGACCAGATACGGAACTCTTGCTGTCTGATTTACCTCCTTTATCGTCAAGCAAACTTGCATGCTCAATGCTGATTGGTCGATCCGTGGCGACAAACAGTGTGACATACATGTATAACTGTGTCGCACGATCCATGTCAAAGCCCTCGTAATGCATTGTTCAAACTCCATGAAATGCACAATTTTTATGCACAAAGCAAAATGCACAACTGCAAAATTTACTGTCAATTCAAAAGTGGTGCGTTTGTGCCCATAGGCTTTGATTGCATCTTTACTGCACGTCAAGTTTGCTTGAAGATAAATTCGTTATCATGCTCGGGCTTCAAAGATTGTATAGCGCGCACAGCGGCACAAGATGTACATGTGTATTATTTCACCGTGAATACGCATAAAATGTTGTTATCACATTAAACACACCAGGCACTGACGCCATGACAAGCATGTACGCACTATACATGTACATGTACCTGTGCCTATGTATGCATTAACGTTCACTCGAATGGCACCCATGGTGACAACACCTTTTTGGCCGAGTTCTCCATCTTGCGCCACAACGCGGCCCTATTAGATCTTTGCTGGTGCTCATGAAACACAGAATATTAAGTGCGTCTGTGTCCCATATAAAAAGTATAAGCCTATGTTACTGTATGTATGTACCAGTACCACTCGGCCTTTAAACAACAGACTAACACAGCATAGACACACTACATTATTCTGCATTCCACTCGCGCTCATGTGATAAAAAAGCAAGAGAAAATAGGGCATTTTTATTTGGGCCATACACAACTTTCGACAAATTGGAGTAAAAATATTACACCATGCTTGTACTTGTAGTTGGTTGCGTTTATAAATTCTTCAATAGGGGGCGCTAGACCTATATAACATTAACCAGCATGACCAGTGTTATAAACACTGGCATTAGCAGTCTTCTCAGAAATTCCACAATTTCCTTCCTCCATGTTCTGGTAAACAACACAGTTTATCAAAAGTGTACTTACTAGATTCCTGAAACCTTTATTTTAGGTCATCATTTGGCCTAACCCCAAACAATGAGCGGTTAAATGTTGGTCGACCGGTTTGCCGTGAAGGGCACCGGCACCGCACCAAATGCGTGGTAGTCTGAGCCTCGTGGTGTATCACGACTCTCGCATTTGCAATGTTTGTACATAGTTTGTATGCCGCCCCAATGTAGCCTGGAGTACGAGGCTATTCTGTGTCAAAGGTCAAACTTTTAATCAGCATTTGATTTTCCGAGCGGCAAAGTAGCTGAAGTTATTTCTCAAATTTTGTTCGTGAATATCCACATTTAAGGTGATTAGTTTCAAAATAGTAGAAAATGGGTATTATCGACCAGGTGAGAATGCTTCATGAGGAGGGATTGTTTTCGAATGTGGCGATTTTGGTGAGTGAATTTTTCGGCAGGATTGTTTCGGCCTGCACCTGCCATGGTCAACATGCATGACATGTACTATAGTATATGCAACTCTAGTGTAGCCTAGGCCTAGGCTCTAGCCCAGGTGGCCTGCCTGACCGCACTACGTTACGGAGGGAGTCCAGGGTATAAATGGTGCAAAATCGGGCAAAAAATTTTGTAACTAACTCCAATCCGTCCTTATATCTCCACATTTGGTGGGTTAAGAAATTCGACACATTGCCACAGACCACAAAATGAAGAAGATTATCCCGGAACGTAACGTTAAATTGTTTCTTTCAGCGTATTCTTGAATTCGTATACATGTAAACGTGTACATGCGCGTGCGTGTATCCGAGACCAGCGCGGTGAACTGAGCATGTGTGATTTTGCATGGTAACCAGATTCTGGTGTACGCATGCGCATACACATACAGCAAGATATCGTGCATATGTTCGTGTTATATTAGCTTTTTGCAGAGGACTTTCTTTTGTTACTCGGAGCAAGAATGGCGGAAGTCATCTCAGAATGTGCAAATTGTTGGGCATGTTCATTTGAAGAGTCTGAAAAAGGTCATGCTCGAATATCTGGAAAAGCTTTGATGAGCCCTGGCACTATCCAAAAAGTCTTTGGCAAAGTTCTGACACAATTGCATTCAGCAAAATTTAGAAACAAACAGTACTTCTACTCCTGGTGAAAATTTCTATTGCTTTTAAATTCTTTAATGAATAAGTTACTTTTTGAATTGTTGTAAAATTTATGTTGCTTTTCATTTGAATCTGCTTGAAACAAGCCTCCATAGTTCAATTTTTCTTATTGAAAACAATAGAAAATTCTCCCTTTCATAAATTTTGCATTGGAATATTCAAATTCTGAAAATAATATTCAAATATTTGATAATCGATCGAATATTTGGATATTTGGCACAGCCCTAACTAAGAGCCCCACAGTTCTACTTATATCCATACCCACAGTTGAAAGTAGGATTTTTGTTTTTCAACTTTGCCCATTTCTTATCTTTTAACCCTAACCCTGCTCCAAGCATGCTTTAAGCACCATGTTTTGTCCAACAATATCCAACAACAAAAAGTATGAATACTACTCAATCCAACAAGGTCCAACACTTGAAAATGTTCCGATACTGTTCAATACAACAGCAGAGTCATTCCAGCATTTTTGAAAACCCTGCTGAGTTCTACAAGATCCAACCAGAATATGCCAATCACATCTACTGCTCAATCCAACAGGATCCAACAGGTATTTACACCTGTTGGATCTTGTCGTGTTCAGCTGGGTTAGGGTTAATGTATGTAAAGACTGCTGCAAAATTTTAAGGAAGCTAATCATCCTAACCAGGCATGCCAGGGAAAGTTAGCTAAGCCTACGTACATGTAACAGCATTCCTTGGATATCTTCTTTCCAGGTGTAATGTGATTTATTCCATACCTACCCTAGAATTGCGGGGTTTGTCACGCTCAATTCTCCAAACATGCCAAGTGACGTTTGTCACACATACCACTCTCTGAAAAAGTTTCAGAGGGCAGAGTGCGATGAACCCGTATTTCTAGGGGTAGCAAAAAATGTTCTATTTTTGGCAAAGTAATGGTGGTAAATCAAACCGACTTTGGTATAATACATGTACTTGATTTGTCTAAAACAGGCAAGCCTCGTGAAAACAGCAAGTGAGCAGAATTCTGAGCTGCTTACGGGCCCCGAAAAGTACCAGCTGCAAGTCTACTATGCCGACGCACTGTTTGAGATGCAAGAGTATAAAAGTGCAGAGGTAGAGTGGATTGAAACTTTTGTTAGCGACAGGAATTTATGCACATGCACATTGCTTTATTATAAGGATACCCACATGTAGGATTGGCCAGGTTCACAGATCACCACTAGAAAAGCCATCAGTCCCATACAGCTTTCCCGTTGAAGGGCCCTGACAGTTTGGGGGGGGGACCTGTGGAAAGAAGTCCATGTACGCACACCACTAATTGTTCCCTCCAGTTACCTGTTTGCCATTTAAAAGCAGTAAAATGACCTAAAAAGCCAATTTTAGCAGGGAAAATATTGAGGTATTCACGTAAAAAACACTAAGAATTTTTCAGACCAGTCTTATAGGAGTTGTACACAAGGTGTCAAGCAGCGTCCATACGGAACTCTTTTTGGACCTGAATAATTTAAGTTAAATCTGAATAATATGGAGTGTGTTTACTGGGCTTCCATTTTCAATTGTATTTGTATTGGCATGATGCCAAACTTAGTAAAGAAGCGCAGGTGATATCTAGGTGAGGCAAATGCTTGGCAGCGCGTTGTGTTGTGAATTGCCTCCATTTTGATGTTGGCAGCTTTCTTTTGTTAACGTCTTCTTTGGAACAGTGAATATTTTCATATACCATAAAAACATTACCCTGCTCCCTGAAATTCAATGCCAGCAATGATGTTAGATTGAGTTTGAAGCCCATGAAAGTATCTGAGAAGCTTGCTAGCGTCATAGTTGTAGTCTTCAATGTGGCATTATGAGCCCTGAGCTGGACCAAGAGAGGGCTCAATTTTCCTAGCAACAGAGGCTCCTTTGGTCAGAACTGCACTTCACTGGGTGACACAAGACTATGAGGGTGCGTTCGCACCGTTACTCCTGTTAACACGAGTAGGATGCGTGCGCATTACACTCGGGTACAGGAGTATACTCCGCCTCTAGTACTCCTGCTGACCCTCGGGTCATACTCCAGCCGTTCGAGCGCCCAGGAGTATACTCGTGTTAACGCGAGTAGTTCACTCAAACGCACCCTGAAATGCATGCATTACAGTCAGGTGGCTACCAGCAAGATGAACACTCCTGACCAATATGGCACTTTTCAACTGATGAAAGGTGCATCTGCTCAAGGTGGATACACTGAGAAAACCTTAGAAGGGCTGTAAACTAGAGCCAGCAGAACAAATCAGAAACAAAACGTAGGGTGTTAGTTCAAAATAAGAAAATCTTTTTCTTTTTTTTAAATCCACAAGCGGACAAGGTGGCTATATCTCCTAAGTTTATTGTTTATATTTAAAGGTGATCTACAGGAAAGCCCTGCAAGTCAAGAAAGTCCTAAACAAGAGCAAGGCCAAGGCCTCCCAGCCACCACCTCCAGCCACCTCAAATGACGGCCTGCCCTCCGAGCTGAATGTCCGCTACAGAATCTACGAGTGCAACTACCACCAGAAGAACTACAGGGAGGCCATAGCAGTGGTGGGTCTGGAATCCTGTCTCCTAAATCATCACACCTCATGCATAGTTATGAGCAGGGGAGCCTCACTCACTGGTCTGGTACTTAAGGGAAATAGAAATGTTTATCGCTTACTCCTTGCACCAACTTCATGTTTAGTCATACTTTTGGGTAGCACAGAAGCTGAATGAAACAGTATCCATCCTTGGGTAGTTTTCATGACCCTCTTGGGTGGAAAAGGCCATGGTTTTCTATCTGTTGGATGCTGTTAGTTTCATTGAAATTTATTCTTCAACTTCTGCTTTTTGACTGCAACAGTTTGAGGAGTTTGCTTCGAGGAAAACTTGAATCGTGCTGTTGATCAGGCAAAATGACAAGTCCAAATATATGTGACTTGAAATCAAAGATCATATACATTTACTCAGCTCCTATACCACAGGCAGGGCACGCACTGTTTTAGCCAGGGGGTGCCTGAGGGTCTGTTGGACACCCCCGTAGGCCATTTTGGGCACCTTGTTTTTTACAACTTTATTTTGCTAGCAACTCGGATGTCCCGTTATTCACTTCCAAGCATATACAGGTACATGTATGACATGCTGACAGAAAACCCCGAGAAGCATGCTTATTGATTTGTTTTTTGATTTTAGTTGGAGAGCATTCCAGCCAAGCAGAGAAAGCCAAAGGTCAACATGGCATTGGCCAAGCTGTATCAGCGAATCGGCAACGAGCGACCGGCAGTCACATGCTTCAAAGAAGTCCTCAAGTATGGATCGGCCTTTTTTTCTCTCTTCAAACATTGGTTTTAGATTTTATCAACCTGAAGCATCACCGTCTTGATTCCTTTGAAATCTGTCAGATTTTGAAGGATAATACACAGGATTGAGAAAGATAGATCCCAATCACTTTGACTATTATTGCATTCATTTACTTCTAATGCCTACCTGTTGTATTGTCACGGGTTTAGACAGGTATGTACGACATGTGACAATTAAAAATGATCCCTAGTCATTCCACGTGCCCTCAACCGGGTCTTGAGGACATGCAGAGATTTTCTAAAATGTGGACTGTCGAAAACAACAATCAGCCTTGCACACATTTCTGGCTTTTTTTTTTACTTAACCCACTTTGCCTCAACATGCAACGATTTTTCAGAACTGTAGACAGTGTTGTAAACTCAGATCACGTGGTTTGCCTGAAAAGCCACCATGTTTTTGAACTGTATTATGGGAAACTTTCTCCGTTAACCGGCTCCGGTTACTCGCGTCAGGCCCAAGTTGGTGTTGGTAGTTGCATACAAGCAGTCAAAGACTTGCTTGCATGAGTAAGCGCAGATGAAGTAATCAAACATGCTGGGGAGAGACTAAGACAGTTTGTTGAAGGCACCGCACTCATGCCTGTATTTGCCAACTTGAGGGCGGTTTGCATTTTGGCAAGCAACCACACCTTGTGAAGAAGTATTCAACTCAGAAGTGTCACCGATGTGCGGAATGTGGTATGACAGTAGTAATGGATTTAAATCCTAGTTACTGGTTAACACCTGTATGGATTATAAGGGATGTATGATTTAGTCCCTGTCGATGGTATTATGTAGGAGTGAGGGAGGTTTCAAGCTAATAACCTCTGCTTCATCAATTCTCATGCTTAGTTTGTAGTATTTTGATAGATTCATGACAGTAACGCTTGCATTCCAAATTTTGTTTAAGCACAGAGAAAGTGTCACTAACAGTGCACTGTAGAGTATTACGATGTGGGGTAATCAGGAAGGTTAACCAC